ATCAGCGGATTTTAACCCCGCCTTTCAGAATTCGATATACTAGACCTAGAAGCTCCAAGATCACATCTTTCCACTCTGTCTCATTCTCCACAAAGACTGTTATCACTCTCCGGGGACCCGTCTTCAAAATGCAAAAGTACCAGCTCTTGTGCATTCTTTTCGTTGCTTTTGGCTCCATATTCTATGGCTACGACTCTGGTAGGGACACTCATGATCACAGAATCTCGGTATACTAATTTTCTTCAGGTTGTACGACATCGGTCCTAGGATATTCGTCGTTTATCGAGTACTTTAACCTTGATGCTACAACCATCGGAGCTTTCGGATCGGCTTATTATGGAGGCGGAGCCGTTGGTTGTTTCCTCAATTACTACTTGCCCGACAAGTTTGGGCGGCTGCGGACAATCCAAATATCCTGCGTTCTTGCTTTGATCGGCTCTGCCATGCAGGCCGGAGCGACGAACTTCCCCGTCTTCTGTGCAGGCCGTGTCCTTGGCGGTATTGCGAACGGCATTGTCTTCTCAGTTTGTCCTACCTATGCGAGCGAGATCGCCACTCCGGAGATCAGGGGCCGGGTTGGCTCATTATATGCTTTCAACGTAAACTTCGCCTATATGCTCACAGAATGGATGGGTCTCGGGTTTTATTACATCAAAGGCAATGCCGCATGGCGGACCCTTTTAGGAATCCAGCTTGTACCAGCCGCTTTCATGTTGATCGCTTCATTCTGGATGCCCTTCTCTCCACGATGGCTCATAATGAAGGGGCGAGATGATGAAGCACTAGAAGTGCTCAGGAAGCTGCATGCCGGTGTCGAAGGACATGAAGAGGACTTCTACATCAAGGAGTTCCACCAGATCAAGTCACAGTACCAAATCGAAAAAGCTAACAAGCTGGGCCTTGTGGCAATCTTCAAGAAGAAATCATACCGGAGACGAATGTATCTCATCTTGACCTTTGTGGCGTTTTGCCAGTTCACGGGAATTATTCCGCTTCAGAACTACCAGGTCACAATCTACACCAAGCTCGGCTTCACCAATGTCTTCAGTCTTGTCCTGACGGGTATCTGGGGGACATTAGGCTGCTTATCTACAATTACCGCAAGTCAAATCGTCGACAGAATGGGTCGACGACATCTGATGGTACATACACCTGTTCCGCCTTTTGATCAATACAGCTTTACTGACAATGGGAAACAGTTTGTTTCCTACAGCTTCATGATTCCCGGTGGCATCCTACTCGTGGCTCTATGGGCAAGTTTCGAACACACAAACAGTAGCAACTACGCGTTAGGCAAAGCTGTCATCTTTGGCATGTTCTTTTACGGTTTCGGATACGGCGGTTTCATGAACACCTTCTTCCCAACCTACTGCACTGAAGTCATGCCCACCAACATCCGCGCCACCGGTACAGCTTCCGGTTATGCTCTCTTCAATCTCATCGTGATCATGCTGGTTCAGGTGACGCCTATGGCCATCGAGGCCATCAGTTGGAAGTATTTCATGATCTTCGTCATCTGTGACATCATATTCATTGTCATTTTCATCATATTCTACCCCGAGACGAAGAATAAGACATTGGAGGAAATCAGTGCGATTTTTGGCGACGAGGTATTTTGAACAAAAACGTCCAGAATAAAAGAAAGAAGGAACATCCTAACAGGCTTCATACTAGGTCGCCGAGACGCTCGAAGAGGCTGGGCAGTACGTTGATGCAGTCCTGCACGAGCACGAAAAAAGCGTCCAGCATATCGATGAAGTCCCGGCCAAGCTTACGTAAAAGGCTCTTACAACGCGAGGTTGGAGGAGAGCGCGTAATCCTACTACCAATGCCAGCGGCCACATCAGCTATGCCCCGTGTCGTCAATTCGAAGAGCGGGACATGAGGAAAGTTGTTGATATTGTTTGCAGCCACGCATGAACTTATACTGTTTTTCAATTTGCTCAGGTACCCATTCACTGGAGCGGAACCCGGCAATAGCTCTCTATGCCTCGTTGATCACAAACTAGTCTTGGTCTATACATATGAGTATCCTAAATACATCTATAGTAGGCACGCTGTATTTGAGACTCCATGGGCGTCATAAAAGTCAACGAAGATATTTATCGGCCTGAAAGATGAGGAGTCTGATGCTCTCCATAATCGTTTGCCTGTAAGTGCTTTCTGATAGTCTGTATGAGACTGCCAGAGTTCTTCTATTATTTTGGCTACTTCCTCACAGTCCAGCGAGACCAAAAAACGCAGACTCTTACTGCGATCAGCGATTATCACGTGAATGCGAATGCTGAGGGGCTGAGACATGGTATCCGGAAAGCCGCGCTTGCACTGAAACCGGTGGGCGTTGATGGTATTGAACGGGGCCAGCGACCGCGCCTCAATAATGCTGAGGATCGTGTTTGGGTCCCGGCCTGATTCATCGAAGGGTCGAGTCTTAAATCGTGGCGGGGGCGGAATAATCGGGCCTGGAAATGGTGGCCTCATGTCAATGTGCCAAATAGTTTAGGTCGAGGACTGTTCTTGGACTGTTCAATGACAAGGAGCATCTAATCTATCGAGCATGACGGGCAATGTGGGGAAAGGATTCGTATGCTGTGTCATTGCCAGATGCCAAGTTGTGCGAGCCTCGATATCACTAGAGTCTAACAGGTCATTCTCGACAGCCATACAGAACCGCCCCCTTCTTCGAAAAGACATGACATTCAACAGAATGAGGGTATTCAATGACAGCGAGGGTTCAGAAGGGGTACTCAGCATAAGTGACGAGAATACGAGGTATATATGACAGTGAGCAGACCTGCAGTTCTCGCCAGGGAACGGTCAGCATGGGGCTAAAGGGCTTTGAAGGCTCCAGGCGAGGCTGTGCCGAAATAGCCCCAAGCTTTGTATCAAGATGTTACTAGCCTAATTGGGCTAGACCAAAGAAGTCTTGACACTTCGACAACACTTCGGACTATCGCTGCCACTCGACATGTATTCTCTCTTTTAATCACTCAAACTATTCTCTACCCCTAGATTGGTTCAACATATCGCCAAGCGCAATATAGCCCAACACGGACTCAAGTCTTTGGGTGACCCCCTTAAGAATCCCGAGCCCTCTAAAGTCTCATCCCTCTTTACGACCTGAGCACCTACCAGCTTATTTGGTTTTAGCAATTTGAGCTATGGCTCTGTGACGATGAGCACGACTTGCATACCCCGAGGCCGCGCACCTCAGGCAGCTTGAGCAGAGCTCTAAAGGCTGTTGAGCGGCACACGACATAGGTGTATAAGAATTATGAATGTATTTACGGCTCTCTTCTCGCAAGATGATAGTGAGGAAGACAAAACGGAGTTTCCGCTCTGTCCCACCTCTATCATATCAGTTGGTGTCAATATCAGAACTGCTGCGGTTTGTCACTCTTTTGAAGAACATGATGGATTATCAAGAGTCCTGGGAGGACGTCTGACACGTGCTAGGTTTCAGTTACCAGTAGTACAAGAGCCCTCTGGCATGAAGGCCTGACAGTCATTTAATAGCAAAAGTACGTCTTCAGTTACAATTGGAAGGACATTGAGTAGGATTGTTGCTTGTATGATGGCCGGAAAGGAGTGAATCAAGGTGAAACCTTTCAGACTGTCCTATTTTCTCCTCGGTATTGATACTGTCACTCTCCTGACCATTGTCCTTGCCTTCTGCCTGCTACCTCCTGCCTCCGTCAGCCGCCTCCCATCTTCAACTCTCCTTGGTGACTACTCGTGCATTCTTGGTTCAGTGGATTGGTGATCGTACGGCTCTGAGAAGAGAGACTATGTTGGTTAGCCCTAGGTCATCTCCTTCTGCAAGGATTATCTCACTTGGCTGGAAAAGTCCCCTTCCCTTTAAGACTCGTCGGCAAAGTCGAAAAGCTCGGAAATACCGCGGGGGTTGAAGTTATTGAAAGACCAGTCGCGGGCCATCAACCGAGCCAGCCTCTGGCAGCAGCTTGGGCCGCTACAACCACTGCATCCCGGTTCGCAAGGATTTGAGCAAGCTCCGCCGCCACCACCACCGCCACCGCCGGCCACGACCATCATGACGAGACCGAAAAAGGTGAAAATACTGGTGAACTTCATGCTGACTGCAAGTGTTTGTTTCGAAGCCGGAGCGTTGCCGATGATAGAAAGAATTTCTGACAACCAGTGAGTGAATGATTGTCTTTATACGCTAGGTGTTGGAGACTCGGGAGCTGGACCTACCCCACCCCTTTTTCGGAGGAAGTGGTCAGAGTACCCTGTGTAGCTCACCACCCAAGACGCTCTTTACGGAAGCCACTGTGTAGTTCTCTGGCACGGCAAATTGGGGTTGCTTCTTCAGACCACTCCTAACCTCCTATGGCCAATACCAGCCCTTTGATACCAAGAAAAGGGAGCGAGCTTATCCTTCTCCTTTTAGCTCCACTCATCTATGGATACAGCCCTCAAGATGAAAGAAACGAAATTGGTTAGTCTTCTCTTCCTCGTGGCCGCCAAATCGTGGGTGGCCTCGAAGTTGAGTGGCGGGCAATAATGAACCCTTCTGAAATTATCGATCCAAAAGTACTCGCAAGCCATACGCAAAATAAGCACTATCAGCACAGAAAAACACTGTTACACGCTATAACAGCAGACTGTCAGTGCTTTGTGGCATTCAGGAGTGGCGACTCCGAGCCTCGTACCGAGTATATCGACGCGGGCGGCGACATGCCGGTCAGCTCCCTTGAACACCTAGGCCCGCATCCGGCGACGTCCACAATAAGCTCCTGGAGAGCTACTACGGAGCTTGGTCAGGGGAACAAAAGGACCTACTAAGACTAACTAATGGGCCACGGATAAAAACTCTATTTCATTGTCGTTCAGACCTACAAAATCCCGCCTACGACACTAATATCTGTTTACTTTGACCTCCCTCCAGTACGTCATTGCCAAAGGACCCAATTTCACTCTCGCTTGTCTTTTTCAGTTCAACGTGCCTGGCTGACCTAGCCCAGAAAGATCAGGTCACGATGTTTCATCCTGTCCCCCAATTACTTCCTGCTTTGGGATTGGCGGTATCCGCGCACGTCGCCGCTCTTATAGCGATGGTCTTTTCGTCTGCAGATTCACATTTTCGGGTCATTGCTATACTTCTGATAGTTCTCCTAGTTCGACAATGCCTCCTTGCCATAGATGAGGCTTCCGATAGAGGCGAATTCTTCCGACTTTACATGTGCGGCTACGCACTTTACGCAAATGAATTTCTGCTCCTGAAAAAACTCACTGTTCCGGCCTCGCCTTCGACCCGGCAACGCCTCGTTTCCGGCCTGAAGCTTCTCTTCTCACCGAGAATCCATGTCTCTAGAAAGGCAATTCCTCCATTTGACCCCGTGGAACCTAGCTATGTGCCAACACGCTGGAAATTCCTTTGTCGACAGGCAATCAGTATCGCTTGGATGGCTACTGCTTACCACTGCGTTTTTCATCGCTACGCCCTGCGGATCCTCATCACTGACTATGCCCGACCGAGAGAGCATCTCCTTCGGCGCTTGTCACAGGTGAGCGGTCGTGAGGTGGTCGTCCGGGTGTATACTGTATTCAAGGAGCATTTCAGAAACTATCTCCTGATGTCCCTTGGTCATAGCACAACCTCTCTTGTTGGTGTGTTCCTCTTTCAGGACGATCCAGCCGACTGGCCACCATTATACGGAAGCTTGAAAGACGCATACACTGTTCGGCGATACTACAGCCATTTTTGGCACCGAGTCATGCGAACTGCATTTGTCTCCAATGCGAAGTTCCTGTTGTTTCGCCTCCTGCGGGTCTCTCCTTCCGCCGTAACATCCAGGTATTTGGTTTCTATTACCGCCTTTGCTATTTCCGGCACTATGCACTCTGTGGCGTTTTCAACATCTTGGAGATGTGCAAGTCTTCGGCCGCTGTGGTATTACCTGTCAATCGCAAGCGCCATTCTGGTGGAGGATCTCGCACAACTAGGCTACCGCAAATCGATGACGTCGCTTTCCGGAAAGGCCCCGACGCCTGATACAAACGAAAACAGTACACAGACTGTCAGCAAGCTACCATTACATGATGTAAGAGGGAGAGATCTGGTTGGATCAGAGGATGGCCTGGGATCCTCTCTCAAGGGTGACAGACCTTCTCCTACTTGGCGATATTTTGGGTATTTATGGGTCATATCTTTCGAATGCTGGTCGATTCCAAGAACAGTCTATCCACAGCTGATCTGTAAGTGGCAAGACCGTTATCTAGCATTGAATCCCGGGGAGACACTTTGAGCAGCTGAGAACCGAATAGTGCCGGGCAAAACAGAATCAGAAGTCTTGGATAGAATGTTGTTGTGGCCGTATGTCCCAGCGTGCTACGTATTCAGCTAAACATCGGGAGAACGGACGCCTGATACATCGGAGAATAATCAGGCCACCAACTAAGAGATACGACTCAGGGGTACATCCTTATTACTAGCAAGCTTTCCGCATAGGAGGCGCATTCTTCTCTCTTTTATGCTTAGAGTCGTGTACAGTATCGACCATATACTATAGGGATATCTTATATATACGCTCATCGTTGGATTCTGCCTACTTGCCAAGGAATTCCTAACACAGCGGCAGAGCTCCTTGGTGCCAGTTTGGGGATCAATTTACGTAGTGCAGCTCCAAACCCACGAAATTTTGCGTTTATCCGTTATTAGTGGCGTAAACCATCAGCTTTTTTTCTTTTCGTTTTTTTTTTTTTTTTAAAAAAAAAAAAAAACACTGTAGGTAGGCATACCTAGACACGATTGGAAATAAGAAGTGATAGGTCTTGAGTCTTGACAATGTCATCAGACTCCAAGATTTCTCCCCGTCAACACCAGATCGTTTGAAAAGATCTCTCCTTTGGTCCAATCTCCTCCCCCCCCCCCGGTCTGGATCGCACCGCTCTTGATGGATGGTTCTACGTAAGGCGTCTATACATATATACGAGCTGGGGAGGTGTGGGAACAATAATAGGACCCACAGTCCGTAGATTACGCTTAACGAAAGTGGAGACAACAACGCGTGTCTGCTCCACTGTGGAATCGAACAGCGGTATGAAATACCCGGTAGGGTGTACGGAGTACTCCGTAGTGTGAATGACACTGCGCATACAGCAGATTGTGCTAGCATTTGCTCATCCCCCATATATTGCGTGGCCTGGTTGTTATTACTAAGATTGCAGTCAAAGATACTTCGTAATACTAAACAACTAATTGGACAGCTGAGGCCACGTGCAGCAAGTCGACTAACTATATTCGACTCCCATGTTTCATCTGATCTTCTCCGCTATGAATACCTCGTACTTTACCGTTAGGGATGACCGATATCCACACAGCTTTGGCGGTACTAAGAAGAAGGGCAGCGGAATCGATTGGTTCAAGCTTCCAGCAAGCAGATATTCTATGGTACGTCACCTCAGTGGAGAGGAATGGAACCTGTCAGAGCATTACGACTGTCTCCCCTTTTTGAAGGAGTGACTCGGGAAATTTTTGGAGAGTTGCCCATTCAATCTATCCTGCAGATTGCATGGACTTTCGTCAGCATTTGAACCAGCCGCTCAGAGTAATTTTGTCCATCGGATTGGCAGGTTCCCTTGGATTGCTTCGAGACGTTGGTTCACCGTGCGACGCCCTCGTGTTGCCAATGCGAGATCTCACATCGTCTTTTCTGCACACCTATTGTATACCCAGAGGGAGTGATCAAGGATGGGAGACGACCTGGGCATCATGGCGAATATGACTCTGGAGTTTAGGCATGGAGAGGATATAGGCCGGATTCCAACGACTTGGTTTACCTCTGGGGACCCCATAGACTCGTTTATCTGGGGTCATGTGATTTTGATGGTTACTGCTTTCGCAGTCATATTTCCAATTGGTATGGTCTTGGGCCTGGGGAAATCGCGATGGCACGTTCCATTCCAGGTCTTTGGCTTGATACTGACTGGTAAGTCAACTACTCGCCGCTACCGCAGGCAATTCGAAAGCCGGTTTCAGTTAACTGGACTACAGTCGTTGGCTGGATACTTCCATCGTTCCATGGAGGTAGGCAGTATCTAAAGCCTAATATCCATGCATCATTCGCAAAGTGGCTTCTATGCGCTGTCATCGCTCAAGCGGGAAGTGGGATATATTTGGGCTTCCGTCTGGAAGGTGGACAACATCGGACAATCAGAAAAATATTGCAAAGGTGGCATGGTGTCGCAGGAAAGTTGATGCCGGTCGCCAGCTGGACACAAATGATGTTCGGAGGAGAGACGTCGTAAGACTTCCCTCGGCCATCCGCACTTGGGAGCACTATCGACTGATAAGCTGGTTTAGACAGGGTTTCTGCCACGGAGACTGGCTCCCGATGTGTGCCGGCCATGTCTCTATGGGATCTATCATGGTCGGTACAGGAATTATACTCGTTATAATCACCATCGATGGTGAGAGGTGGATACGGAAAACTGGGAGATCGTTGGATTTCTACGCTTGCGGCACGATCGCAGCATCAGGGTGCGGTAACGCATGTATGTTCTTGCCTTTCGCCTTCCTGCTCGAGTCTTTCGCTGACTGATCTTAGTATTCGAACATGTCTGTGCCTTGTAACGTGCCGAAGAGAAAATCTAGCTGACCCTTGTTAAAGATTCCAGGCTCCGAGTGGAACCACCGGGAGTATAGTCACGTCGCCTTCGGGGTTTTCTGGTGGATAGCAGGCATAGTCGGTCTTTGGCAGACCCGCAAACCTGACCAACGGACACCTATCCCCGGAGTGGTATTCTTGGTCACAGGATGGTACTTCAGCATGCACGAGCAGCCTAATCCGATGGCGAAGCATGTGCATGAGATCCTCGGATGCGTGATGATGAGTGCTGGAGCTATACACTTTATGGAGATCGCCTATTTCATCAGAAATGTTGATCGAAGCAACGCCACAGTTGACTCCAGCCCTCACAAAAGTCCGAATCCGTCCGAGTTTGTCTTTTCGTTCGTAAGTTTTCCATCGCCAGTCTGGCGGTACGGCAACAATTTGTTTGGCTCACTATCGACTTTCACAGTTGATCATAGTCATGGGCGTCATTAACATATACGCTCCTCCCCAAACCCTGTGGCTTTTCAACTACTGGGGTCTTGATCACATTTCCCTCATGCTGATATGGTTCTCGATTGCGATGGGCATCATGTGCTGTACGTTTAGCCCACCCACAGGTTTGCCAGAGATGCTGACATTCCGTGCAGTTACGCTTACGCTCGTCCAGCTCTATAGGAGCCTCAAAAACTCGGAATTGCAATTGATACGGGGTCACGGTGACCTTGGGATCATGGAAGATACGGAGCTCTGTGGCCTTTTGGGTACAGATACGGAAGGAGGTGATGAAGAGGAGGTCAAAACAACAACAGATCCCTCAGTCCGTACACTATAAAATTAGTTGTCGCCGAAACCTCTCGTGTATTTGCCAATGAAGTACTTGAGGTGTATCAGAACTATCGAAGAGCCCTTGGTGACGTTGGCCCTACCACTTCTCACTCTTCTTCTTTAGTTCGCCTCCATTTGCTGCGCCATTAAGTTTTACCTTGTCTATAAGATGTCACTAGGAGCTATACGCAAGGAAGAGATGGGATAAGGTCAATTTAGACGATGAGCCTCGACAGCCTAGCCGGCGACTTGACAACGGGTTCCGGAGTCATACAGGAATGTTTTCGAGACCAAGGACTCTCCACCCATGCCTTTTGTTATTCAATCCAGACACTCTTCCCTTACCAGCCCTTCGGCAAATCAAGTAGCATGTATAGAGAGCAGCATATATGATATATGGCATTGCTTATATATCACAGACAAGAATTCAATTGTACTACTATATCGGGGCCTAATAAGTCAACAGCAGACTGGATCCATGAATGGTCCACAACTTATCAAGTTAAAACTCCCTCGTTCTCCTCCGCAGTCGAGGTTGCGTATATTTATTCACACACGACGAAAGATCCGGTAAAAACGAGAAAGAATCCAAACCTGATACCTTGAGCACCTGAAGCAAATGAACTCGAAAGCAAAACGAATGTCCACAGACTTGTATATATGACAAAAGAGATCTTGCTTAAAATATGCTCCCGGTGGTCAACTCCAAGGGCGTGATCTATCGGAGATTGAGAGGATTGAACGTGTGTATTGTCTACCTACAAGGGAGATGTAGGCTATCTATACCCTAGAGGTAGCCACTAAAAGAACAGGTTGGGCATGCCTTCCTAACATGTTCACAAGTCTGACCCACCAAGCTGCACGGTCGCATCCAAACAGAGACCCTCTGAAATGGGGCCACAAGCTGAGTTTAGTTTCGCAAGGCTTACCAGTCGATATCGGCGAATCTCTGCTCGAGTGTACCAGCAGACACGCAGGGAGGAAGGATTACAGGTAGCGCTCGACCAATTAGTGTTTGCGAAGATTGAGGCCTGGGGGGAGAGAGCGGTCTAGTTCGATCATATATGGTCTTGAAATCTGTGCTGATAGTAGACTCTGCATCAACTATCGAGTATGGTTAGCGCGGATTAGCCTCTTACCACCCTAAAGATTATAGATGCATGGCCGGGAAGTGCATTGGGAACACTGACTGATTCGACCTGGCCAAGGGGATGGTCGAAGCTTGTGGTCCTCACCAACTCCGGGAACTCAATTCGTGCCCAGATACCATTCATAGGAATGTTGTTAACATCAGGCGTGAGGAGTGTTGCGAGGACGGAGCAAAGTCGGGCGTAGGCTCTGGACATGTTCTCGAAGCAGGTTAATTTGTCGGTTGGTGAGCCCATGATACAACGGAGCGGGTTGTAAGTGTCATGGACATTGTCATTATAATGATTACAAGACCATAAGTCCTATTATTGTCAACACTACTCATTATCAGAGCCTGGGTTCTTTACTTACCCAGATCGAAATCGTCCCGACTCCAGTTCTCCGTGTTTGCCGTTTCACTGTATCACCTTGTTGGGCAGTATAGAATAGACATGTCGACGGTTCAGGGTCAAATAGTCGATGATCAATAAAGAACTAAGATGCATCAGTACAAAGAAAATTAATAAGTCGAGAGCGATTCGACCTGGGTAATATACTCGTCGACCTTGTCGCAGACAACATCTCTTGATTCAAGGTGCAGCGGAAATGGAGCAGTGAGATTATCAGCAAGCCACATTAATAGGAATAGGACATGATTTAAATACATTCTTATCAAGAATGATGTTGGCAACCTGATCAGATCAAAGGCAAGGCAGCTGATGAGATGAAGAGTTGAGGTGAAAAAATTCCTCGAAGCCTTGTGGCCAGCTCGTTATAGGAGAGGGTCAAGGGTGTAATTGTGAATCTTGGGCAGCGCGTAGGCGTCAAACCCCTGCCAACATATCCACATGACCGCCGGGTCAGCAGCAACTGTTTCCTGAGAAACCGAGCTTAGCCTTAGAGGACTGCTGAAACTGACTATATAGACAATGACCACCTGGCCTTTTGGGGCGGACTCAAGCTTAGCTCGACAAAGACACTCCATTTTGATATCGTTTTACGATATCCGATCACATTCAAGCCGGAGAGCTTCGCATAAGGCCTAGAAGACTAGAAATTAAGGGCTATACTGTTTCTCTTAGGGCAACGCCCACACGCCGTATAGTTGACGTTGATAAGGATATTACGGAGAAAAATGGGCGTTTGATTAGACAAACCCAGAGACTCAAAGAGAGGTTTCCCTAGATATCCATGCTCAAGTCCAAAAACTACTGACGTCGGTGGTGGGCCGTTCGTTAGATCTTGGGGGAGACTGACTGATTGATGGGTCGGGCTGGTAATCTTGGTTCAAAGAATAGTTGGTCAACGGGTACTAGCCACATTCACATAGCCGCCAAACTTCCAACATCGGGCCTCAAAGGTATGTCAAAAGGCCTACAAAGCTGCCACCTGGTTGGTTGGCAAGAAGGGCACTTTGGTCGCTTCACACTGAGACATATGCTGTGATACTAGAAACGAGCCGTGCGCCCAGTGTACAAAAGGCCTTGACTATTTGTTTTTCTAGGCGCTGTGCTGCATCTGGGCGCGAAGGTGTAGCATGAATGGTACTAAGATTCGTGCTCTGATTAGTCTGATAAGGGCCACCAGGGTTGAGGCTCATTAAGCGTGTTTGACTCAGCCCAATTAGGCTACCTAGGCATTCAGCATATCTCTTGGCACTGCGCCACAGCTGGTATTCAAGCCTCTTCCGTCATAGATGGATTTCCGCTTCCTTAATCAATCAATCAAGCTATAACGGACCTTTCGTCCCACAAAGCCATGGGTATGGTGAGGCGGAGTCAAGAGCACTACTGCATCCGAACCTCCATAGTCAGTTTAACAGCCGGATGTGGGAACAGCATTACCTCGTACCGACCAGAGACGTCCTTGTTAATTGAGCCCCTCTTTCTTGCACTTTTCCCGCGACATGGATTTTAGTATTCGCCGACTTTTATAAAATCCAGAGGCCCCATCACTCTAGGAGGTACAAGCCCTTCTAAGGCTCGCCTCTACCACGCTTGGATAGTTCTAGAGGCTTTGCTATGCCTTATGCTACGCTTTGTTTCTTATTCGCTGCGTCCAAATCCCGTGGATTGACCACAACGATTTCCAAAGAAGCATGGATATGACAAATAGCGAAGCACATGTGCGGTATTCGACACCTCTCTCCTCAAAAGCCCAGCTTAGTGTGCTTCGACGGCTTCACCGGCATGAATGATCCATTTGGAAACGCTATGAAAAGGATCTCGTTGAATGACGACTATGAGCTTCTCCCGCTAACTCTCCATCGGTAAGACGACGAATTCAAACTTTACGAGAAGCTGCTTGTTTATACTCTTCAAGGCGATGTTGAAACCGTCAAGGCCGCGTTCGACAGCATCAAGCAATTTCGCAATTCTCACCTCAACCCGCTCTGGCCTGTAGCGGCGCTAGGAGCTTCCCAAGGGCACATGGATACCGTTAGTTTCGCGCTGGATCGTGGCGTGGAACTGGCACATGACGTCTGTCTAAGGGTTAGATCTGGAAGTCACTGGAACGATGAAGTCTCGAAGTACTGGAAAGAGAACGAGGTTGCTCTCGATGGACACAATCCACAAACCGGACACTAACTATAAGCCAGACATTTTAGACGAAATCAGGAGAAGAGTCCATGAAAGGATTTGTCGTCAGTGTATTTGAAGCTCGGTTTAACGAGGGGATTTTAATATCTTTCTCTGTGGCCATGCACTGGCTTATGGAATGGCCCCCTGAGGCAGAGTCCGAACGTCTATATCCGGTGTGAGGGATGTCGGTTCATCTACTGGTCGTTCAATCGAGGCGGCCTTGAAGAGAGCTGATGGTGGCTGTGGGAAATTTTGCTGTTTAGCCTTCTGGTTCACAGTCAGTGCTCTCAGAATTCGAGTAGTTCCTGTTCGACTCTGGCTCGTGTGTTGCTCGAAGACCAGTCAGATGCCGTTGATAGGCCCAATGTTTTGCCTCGAGCAAGCACAGACGAGGATTAATAGACGGTTACTAGCGAGCAGAGGGTTCCCATTTCCCAAAAATATAGCAACTTGGATGTCCAGGCTCATTTTGCGGCACCTGGTCCTTTCACTTCATTGTCAGGTCCGCCTACTTTTGGATGCTTCCCTTCAGTGGACAAGCCACAGAGCAGGCAGCGTTGGTCCATTGATCCATTGATCTATTGATTCACACCGTCTTCGTTCGAGTAGTCAATTCATCTGTTGAGACGAGCGGGATATGTCAGATGCTGGCTGGTGAGAGGACGTGAAGAGGAAATCGGCTCTCTGGCTTTGGAACATTTGCTCACACAATTGTTCGATAGTCATGGCCTCCTCATTGAACCTGGCGACTGCCATTGGGATTCGCGGTCAGTGGTCAGATTCTCCTATATCCAACCGCTTCCCGACCGACCCTCCCCCTCTTCCATCGTCCATCAGCCCAGCGACAGATACGGACAATTGAATGGCATTGATATCGATGATGTATGAACAACAACCAACACCGGAGCACTAAAAGCAAGTAACTCCAGCGGAAACTGGAAAGGAACGCAGCTGATAGGAGAAAAAAAATAATCAGCGGACCTGTCTATTTAGAACCAGGGTTCTTTCTTTCTCCTTAGTTCCTGCTTAGCCCTATCTGAATGATGGTAGCGTGGCTGTTATTGAACACTCCTCTGACACTGTCCTCAAAAGCTTCAGTAGCCTTGCCAGGCTCCGGATTATGGAATCATGGGAAATCTACTTGCACAGCCTCGTCCAACTTACATATTGATGCACGTCAGCATTTCAATTCGTGCTCGGACTTCATGTTTCGATGATTATCAATCATTCATTATGATTGGAAGGATGGAAATATCTCGATGCTCTGCTGTACTCCGCGGTTCCTTCCCGGTTTAATTGATTCGAACTTCAACTCCGTTGTGAACTCTGGGCTTGTTTTTCCCATTTCTCCCTGATGCAAATTCGGTGACCAACCATGGATGCTTCATCCAAAGGCCGCTACCCATTTATGGAGCGAGGCTGGGTAAAGCAATTCCAAATCCTCCATCGGAAAATGAGAACCGTCGTCGAACTCGATCCTGCGATCAGGCGGAATATGCTGCATATAAAGCCATGGACAAGCCGTTCAATGGTTCCTCAACAAAATATCCTTGAACTCTGCAAGATAGGTGATTCGGTTCAACACTGCAGACATGAAGTTTTAATTTGTGCTTAGTGCATTGGGCTTTGCATCGCTAACCCTCGCACGGGACATTACCGGCAAGAAGGTATGAAGGCCAGAACGTTTGGAAAGCACGCCTACTAAAGTAGGTCTTAGTTGACGCAGCTCCAAGCCGCAACGGTCGATACCAATGGACAAATTGAAACCACAGATAATGGCGCGCCGGCAAATGCCTCGAATTCCCTTCGAAATGGGCCGCGTGGTTATAATCTCCTCGAGGATGTCAGCGTCCGCAAGAAGATGCTTCATTTTGACCGTGAACGTGCTCCCGAAAGAGTGGTCCATGCACTTTGCCATGGCGCCTGGGGTCAATTCGAGTCTATGGGCGACTGGAGTAATATTACTTCCGCGTGCTGGCTGCAGTCCGGCGCAGTGAGTGAAGTCTTTACGAGATTCTCGGTGGTTGTTGCCAGCACTGGTGGAAGTGAGGTAGGGAGAGACACTCATGGTTTTGCAACAAAAATTTACAGTCAATGCGGCAACCAAGACTAGGTCGGTAAGCATCTACCCTCCTTTTTCGTTACGGACGGCGCAGATTTCCCCGATCTAATAAGAGCGGTTAAGTTTGAGGCGGACAAAGGATTCCCCACAGGCGGGTCTGCCCATACAACCCGCATATGACTTCTTCACACAACATCCGGAAGGGGCGTTCCAACTCATGAACGTACTGTCTGACATCGGAATACCACGTGATGTCCGCCATGTCAGCGGCTATGGCGTTCACACGTTCCGCTTCATCAATGCCCAAGGTTAATCCCGACTGTTCAAATGGTATTGGCTGCCACTACTCGGCCATCGCAGCCTGGTCTATGACGAAGCTACCGTAAGTCTCCCTGTTCACCTTCCAGACCCACACCGGTCCCCTGAGCGCTTTGCCATCTCTTCCGTCTCCAATAGTGCTTGGAATTCAAATGGATGCTCACCTGCTTGGGAGCCGGCAGAAAATCGCTGGAAAGAACAACAACTTCCAACGCGTCGATCTGTTCAACAATATCAAAGCAGGGAACTTCCCACAATGGGACTTTGCAGTCCAGTTGTTCCCGGACGATGGTACTTACATGTACAAAGGCATTGACCTGCTCAGTCCCACAGAAATTGTGCCCTTCGAATTTAATCCACCCCTCAGACTCGGCAGATTGACCCTGAGCCGGAATCCAACCAACTTTTTCGCAGAGTCAGAGTCTATCTCCTTTGCCCCTTCGAACGTCGTGCCCGGAGTATCATTTGTCCCTGATCCTCTCCTCCAGTGGCGGCTGATGGCCTACGATGACACTGCAACTCATAGGCATGGATCCCCGAACGGCTACCTCCTTCCTATTAACAAAGCCATCGTACCGTTAAGCAACAATTACCGTGATGGGTACATGCAACCGGTGATCTTTACGGGCGAGTCGACTTCCACTCCCAATGGCATTGGAGGTGTGGTTGGGTCGAGTGATAACGCAACGATTACATATACCGGAAACGCAGTCACGAGCGCTGGCACTGGCCCCATTGGTCGTTTCGTAACAGTGTACGACTGGTTTGGACAAGCCCGCAACTTCTGGGGTACGCTCGATGTCTTTGCTCAACAACACACGGTTGACGCGTATCGCTTCGAATTGGGCAACGTCGCCAACTCGTCCGTGGTCCAAGTATATATTGACAACATTCTCAATAACATTGACAATTGCCTTGCCCGCCGCGTTGCGTTTGGCTTGGGCGCCGATATGCCAGCTATCGGAACTGGCCCTCTCACTAACCTCACCAATATCGCAGCCCCTTTTCCGAGCCTATATCCTCTGGCAGTCGGAATAGAACCAAATAAGAGCCTCGCGGGGCTCAACGTTGCGGTGCTCGCCAACGACACCCTCTTCAGTGCATCCGATATGGCAGCTTTGCAGCCCATATTGAATGCTCAAAACGTCACCTTGACTGTCGTGGCGCCCCGGTCCGGCGAACTCGACATAGGAGTGAACGCGACAGCATCATACATCACCACGAGCAGCATCTTTTATGATGCTGTCTTCATTGGTTCGGTGGTCGCCACGAGGGACGCTACGGGCGACAGCGGCGCTGTGGATTTGGACATGGGCGCTATGAGTTTCGTTATGGAAGCCTACAGTCACGGCAAAGCTATCGTCGCTCTTGGGGGCAGTGGAGCCGGGATCTTACGAAGTCTTGGACTAAACCTTGACGCTGGCTTGGGCCTATTTGCAGGCAACCCTGGACAGGTCACGGCGAGCGTGCTAAGCGCATTGAGCGGACCGGTGAAGTTTCCTCTGAGGTTTCCGACTGATGATATCAGCACGATCTGTGGGAGATAAGGTGTGGCTTTCACTTTCTTGTTAGTGAGGCTCAGGTGGTCTGAAGAGACGGATGCAGGTGTGGGAGAGTCGATCTGGGTGACACGCTGCATATAGACGGTCGTTCAACTAATTGAATAATAATCGCTTGCTTCATTTTTCAAAACAATTCGAAGCGAGGATCACATCCTTGATAGGATTCACTGCAACCACTGTAGCTGAGCTCATCCGAGGATTCAGAGCGAGACCTCAGCATGGAGAGAAAATTCCTGGAGAGCAATGGACTCCCACCGGTAAGAGCCACCGACTAGAGCTCGCCCGGCAGGTTTCCGGCATTCCCACCTGTAGCACTACTAAATAAGTGGAGGCAAGTATTAGAAGACGAGGGCCAGCTTTCAAATCCACCAAACGCAATCGTTACTACACGGGGAGTAGAAGGTTTCAGCGCCTCTGGAAATAGATATTACATGAAAATCTTTATATGCTTATGGGATGGCGTTCGGTACAAGCACCGAAAGATATCTTCGGAGAAGGCGTATCAGGAGACATTCAAAGTCATATGAATCACACCAAGGCCTGAGTCCCGATACGGCCGAAGCCTGGCATGGGTATCTGACTTTGCTCAGTTACACATCAGAATTTCCGCTATTTTCGTTCACGTTCGACGCCGACTGATCTCGCCGGTGTCGTAGTCGTGTTCAGAATGTGCGGAAACTCTGCGAGATACTCTGCACTTGGCCGTCTTCGACTTCGAATCTGGCACTCCGTCCGAGTCCAAGTCCCAGTGGTGACGCTTCATCTTTAACTCCTCCTCCTCCTCCTCCTCGCCGTTGTAGCCTTTCTTCACTTTCCCTTTCACTTGCGTTGTCTTTTATTCTTTTTCCTTCCCATCATGCTTCGCCAGAACCCACGGTGCCAATCCCACTGTGAGACCAGTGACGGCCGAGGAAACAAGCTCCATCGTGGCCGTCGGACGTGCGTTAACTTTTGGGCTTTTGTGGTAGTACTGCTGTGTCTGCGGTGCCACTTCACCAAACGATTCCCAACGTAATTTGCCAGTAGACTGTGAATCCGATGACTCCTGTTCCTAAAAGCAAGCTGGTATGTGTATCCCGTATGGTGGCATAGGTGCGTTTCAGATTCAGCTCATCCTAGAATATTTTTTCTTGAATCGCTCCGTGTCTCCGTCTGTTTTCCTCAACCGTGTATTGTAGTTAGCAAGCTGCCGCGAAGCAGCAGGTACCTGGCGCCATTCATTACGCTTCTCGGTCTCCAATGACAATGCTCAGGACCTCTGCCTGCTGGTTCAGTACCGTCTGTACTATGGCCAGCTCACTTCGAATGTCGGATATTCAGTGCATGAATTCCGCCTCCTTTTGATATAAAGTTTTGCAGGGCGTTTGGAGCCATGTAACTTTACACGCTCGAAATGGCGTAGACCACTCTGATTTCGAAGATTTCAAGCGGCCGCTGAAACTTGCTGACCTGGATCTGGCGGAATATTGCGCCAGAAGAAGTCCAATTAACAGGTCGTGATCGTCCAGTAGGCTTGTTGCGACTCCCATGTGCTCGATCTTCCACTTTTCGTTATCGAGTAGCCCAGCGCCCTCTGTCTCACGGTGACTTGGATAACGGCGTGCCTCATATATTGATGCTCTCGGCATACACTGGGAAACTACGATATGAATCTGACTGACTGTAAGGCAGGACGAGAAGATGTATCTGCTTTCGCTCTTTCTCCAAATCAAAAAGCTCAACCCGTCCAGACATAACGTGTTGCGTCATATGATCTGGCATAGCTCCGGTTGCGAGCAGAAACTCGACACTATCCATTGAAGTTCGATTCGCCGCGTAGCATAAAAGAGTCGCCTCGGATATATCTCGATGGTTTAATAATTCCGGGAAAAGCTCAGCTCCATCTTTTCAAAAACATATCTCAGCATGTTGAGATCTCCAATTCCAGCTGCATAGAAGATAGCCGTCCTGTTCATGGTTGCCTTTGCCGTTAGACTTGCGTCTTCATGATCTATCAGATATGTGCTGACGTCAATGAAACCTCTGTAAATCGCAAAACGCATAATTCGGTCAATGACGACTACTAAAAGTTGGATCCGCTGCTTCAGCTATGGAATGGGTTGATCATTCAGGATATACCTACCCACGATATTACTTCCCGGACGTGCTTTTCGAGGAATCAGACGAATCACAATGCAATCATTTAATTTCATCATGAACGTTGAGTCTTCCATACCTTTGGAGTACATATTTTCAACAGGACTTTCGGCACCTGGGCTGTTTTGGAGGTCTGTGGCCGTGGGAACAGCTTCCCCCGCCCCTGGTAAACGGGGTAGGCTGTTGTGGGTCCCTGAGCCATAGTTGGAATCGGCAGATTGAGGAATATCTTGGATCCCACATTCCTGGATTACTCTGCATCCCTCATCTTGTAGAGCATCCGGACCGAGCTCATATTGCAGATATGCATTGATGTTTTTTCGGTAATAGGGTTCGCTATGAATGTGACGTGGTACCGGGGCGAATTTGGGTCTTTCTCGCTCTTTGCAAGCAGGATAGTGGGAGAACTGGGTCATTGAATACGGTAGCAAACTAGACTTCAAATCTGGGCCTTGCGCATAAGGTTTTGGGTCGCTGGTCCCCCCCAAAGGCTCAGCTGTCAGAGACTATAGGTTAGGTGATGATTGGACGAACTAGTCAGATAATACCTTAGCTACTCACGTATTCAGGTCCGATTTCAGCCCAATCCATCCACTGCTGCCATCATTCATCCTCGCAACAAAACGTCTGATTCTCCTTGTTATTTGTGCTGAGCCACAGATGCAGCTAATTGTCAGGAGGGCGCGTTCTACCAGCGGACCGCGCTCAATGCTGGGTGGGATCATAATCGCCGACCCCATGCAATTATTAGGCACGAGAGCCCGGCGAGGTTCGGGGTCCATAAAGTCCGCAGCCTGACTGGACATCTTTGGTTGGGCTCATGGATTAGGGGTCATGTGTTCCTCCCCTCTCTTTCCTAGTGCCTAGTCTTGTGCAGTACCAGCCTGGTGCCGCCGCTGGGAGGCTTGTGCTGTAGCCACGTGAGCAGACTTTGTATGTTTCTCGATGAGGGAGGTTGAAAGATCTTCCAGAGAGAGACTGGTGGCCGACGGGAGTCGCGAGGATAACGATCGGCGATGAACGAGAGCCACGCAACAGCAAACCTGGTAGGATCGGCTATAAAAGGGATCTAAGATTTGTCAATGAAAGGGTGGGATAGTCTATATTCAGGATCAGGCCGAGTTAACCAACAGTGGGCGACAAGGGAATGTTTGTGGTGGGGCGGTATGCGATTAAGGTAACTAACTAGGTATGGAGTACCGAGTACCCAGTATTAACTCGCTAGAGATGAGTGTCTGACTAGAGGGGCCAAGGCGCTAAAAGCCCCAACACCAGGCAAGCCGATTGTCCCAAGGGACTGCATTGTCTGGGTTGGTTCACTTGGGCCTAATTCCAGAATACCAAAGTCGGCTCCGAGGAGAGCACCCTCAAGACTCATAGCATCTAACAGCCTTGACTTTTTTCTTTTGCCAGGATGTCCTTATTGGTAATACAGTCCGTCCAGGGCCTGATCCACCATCCCTAGGCCCGAAATATTCAAGTTTTTGGTGGTTCTCCGACTCGAGCACAACATCTCTGGTCGATCTGACTGTGGCTTGAAAGCTGAGTTGATGGATTTCAATGATCACTGCAGGTGCGGCACAGGCCCCCAATCTGCCGCAGCATTGCGAGAACCAACATAGGCCAAACACGCAGGCCCGCCAGCGAGCCTTCACAGCTACGTCCATTAAAAGTATGCTTTTAGTGATGAAAGACATTCTCGGTGCGGCTTATCTGCTCTTGTACGGGACATCTACTATCTAAGTAACAGCATCCCACGAGCGGCAGACGCTTCTGTTGAGCCAGTCGGAGTGTCTTCTATCTGGAGTACCAGAAGAGGCTTTGAATGCGAAGAACTGACTCGCTGAGGAGCACAGTTTGCTGTAACAAGTAGTGCTAAGAGTTCCACCTACTAACGAAATTAGGTTAGCTCAACATTTGGAAGACAATTAAAATTCATTCGAAAAAGATGTCATTTTCATGCTGTGAAGTCACAAGGCTGCGGATCCACGAGCTAGTGAAGGCCATCCAGACTATCCGCTCGGTCTCCCAAAGGGCGCATATTGTAAGTGCTTGATCAAGCTATCCTGTGGACTCGATATCCCTTGGATTTCTCTCTTCATTATCAACTCTTTGACGCCCATTGCTCTTCCAACGAAAAGATGCAATCCATTTAAAACCTCCCCTGCGTTTAAAAGGAGACTTCTAACTCTAGAGACTGTAGATCTCTTGTGCCTGCACCACTATAGCTACCGGACATTCTTCTTCTATGAGGTCAATTTCCAACTCTTTGTCTCAAATTCTCTCAACGACTTCTAGGCCAGGGAGCGTAACAAGGAATTTAATGGACTATCACAAAATTGTTAGCAGTGCCACCACGTAGAACAGCACGACTAGTACTCACGTGGTAATCCGCCCGGCTGCGGTTTTCATTTAACCACTCGATCGAGGTTTTCAAGAAGATGGAGCAGGGATGTGAAGCTCCGTCCATATACTGAAATAAGTTGTCCAGGCTTAGCATGGTGCCGGGATAGGAGAAGTCCCCATCCATTTGACCTGCGGCGAATTCCTCTGCACGCCTCGTTGTGTGGTATGTCGTCCAGCCAAGCACACCAAAACCCCCGTCATCAATGTACCGGTACGCCTGGTATCGGAAGTTTATCACGCTCACGTGAGGGAAGTGTACGGGGATCAGCATCCAGAGTTTGTGAAGCTCGTCAGAAGAGTGCACAGATCGGCCATTGAAGCCGTGGAATGAAATCTCTGTGATCTGGTTCCGGAGGCGCGTCCACATGGGTGCAAGAATCTTGCGGAATGCAAAGTCCTTGTAATGTCTGTCCCAAAATATTGTCATCCGCCCGTTGAGTGCATGTTTCCGTGCGTGGCGTGAGTCCTCGCGAATTTTCCTGCTGACTTGTGCCAGACAAGGGTAGTCATGGCCGTATACTAGTAATTCCGGAGGGCGGTTTTCCAATTCCTCCAACTGCACAATCGAGGCTTGGAGGGGTCCGCTAATGTCTACTCTCACTCCATGCTTCTTTTCGTATACGTATTCGTATACTTTGTCTTGGAGCTCCTGTGGCAGCCTCAGGAAAGGAAAGGGGTCGATTCTCCAGGGAGCATCCCAAGGGTCGTCCGCTTTTGAGTGCCAGTCATTCCCCGAGGGGAGGATGAACTTTAGGTTCGGATCTTCACTCCATTTGAAATTCCCCTGCGTGAGCTCACCACACCAAGCGGGAACCTCCCGCCCGCCTTTGTCTGCACGTTTCCCTCGTCGGCCGCGATTTGCAACTTCACCAGGTCGGAGATGTGGGTGTGCGACCCAACACTGGCTAGTGAAGTGCCCGTACTTTCCACAGGCACGATAAGTGCATTTAATAGGTCGATGACGCGTTGGGGGATTATTGTTGGAGTTGGTTGGGACCGCACCAGCGGTGTGGTCGTGGCGTTCCATCGAGACTGGTGATAAAGGAGGTCTTTGCTTTCCAAAGTCGAAGGATGAGAACATAAAGTTGTCGATAGGACGCTGGACCTATCCAAATCAACGAGGTGCGAACAAGACGGAAGGAATAGATGTTAGATCGGCAGGGTCAGCTAGTTCGGGGTCGTCAGTATCGCAGGCGACAAAGAGGTGTCACTCTATTCTAGGAGCAAGAAGTGAATGTGCAAGCATTTAGTGACACCCTTTGTTTAAGTATGTGAAGATGGTGGACGCGCCGCCCCACTCTTGAAAATGTGTCCTGAAGACCTCAACACCAACGTCAAGAAAGTGTGTTGACTGCTGGAGTGACTTTCGTGGTCCGACTTAGTGTAAGCTGTGCAACCAGGAGTTGCCCAGGTCGACAAGTATCGGGCGTGCGCCGTTTAGTTCGAGCCATAGTCTGGACCAGGAGCATTTAAGGTCTCCGCAAAACTTACCATTGCATGAGAATCTTGGTTTTGCTGTCAAAGCTCTGTTTAGCCTGTGAAATTTGGCGCAGGAAATATGTGGTAGCTAATAACTAAGTGGTCCGAATGCGAGCACTTCCACTTGCTCCTTGCTTCATATTAGGTCAAGAACTCTCAACCAGCGACTATGCTGATGGGGAAAAAGCTGGGTGTGAAAACCTTAGGCATTTCGGCACTTGGCCAGGCAGGACTTTGTGGGGCGAGAGCCGTTTCATCGCCGTATAATCATTTCCACAATGTGAGAGTACTAGGAAGACATAGGATAGTAGTTCAGACAGGCCACAAAGGAGAGTGGCTTACCCGAGGCGACTCATTGTCCAAAGCCAGTAATTTTTTGCTGTAGTCTTGTAACCCCGAGTCCTGAGTCTGCCTCGAGCATGCCCATTATGTGTCGTAGTTGTGGAAACATTATTGAACAAAGTGGAGTGGGAGATCATTTGGGATTCAGAAGAAGGTGGTGCAATGCCTTCGCGGGCTAGGTAGGACATCGGAGGCGTCCGTTCGGCTAGCCAGGAGTATCGCCTTGATACTTAGTCATCCACTTTCTGAATATCAATCTTGACGAGTTGAAATTTTGCAAAGCCTCTTCGCTCAACGGTTTAGTCAAGCTGCCGGTGCCTGAGATTTTCCTGCACTTGGAAGATTCGGGGGCAACTATGGTCGCAGAATTCTAACCACATCAGTTCCTACCGTCGCTTTCGAAGAATTGGAACTCGTAAAAGTCCCCAAATGCAAATGACGGATCGAATAATCGCGCAAACTCGTCGCGGATCTGCGAGTCGAACAGTGTGAAGTCATCGCCATCCATAGGGTTCTCAACATTACAGCCGGTCAACAAACTCGTCCCCTGGGTCGGTCCCATGTCTGAAATGTCGCTAACGTGGTTGGAGTCCTGCTGCTGCTCGGCCTGCAGTTGTTGTGTGTTCAGAATCTTAGACTGCAGCTCCTCGAGGCATTTCAGTCGGTCCCATGCCCGCATAACCGGACCGGATCGCGAACTCAGTTTTCTCAAAAGCGTCAGTCCCACATGGAAACTATCGCGGATCTCCATCCAATATTCGGCAGTGGCGTGTACCGCGATTAGCAGCAGATTTCCTAGGCTCGAGACGATGAAGTGCTTAAAGAACGTCGCATGTGTCTCTAATAGAGTCGTTGCAGCATCGAGGTCTGATAAAACCTGAAGAGAATTTTTTGCGACGTTGACTGCGGCGAGGCTGTGTTCGGGGTGGCTCTTTATGCTGGACGCGGATTGTAGAAGGGGCCGGTAGATAACATTGTGCAACTGGTTTGAGCGGACGAAGAGCGCGACGCTGAGGTAGAACTGCTGTAGGATTTCGGAGTCGCAATTTCTCAGGTCTGGTAGTCCGGTTGATCCATGACAATAGCGGATGGAGGCCGGGATCTGCTTCTGCCACTGTGAGACTTGGTAATCGAGATACTCGATCTCCTCGCGAACGATGTCTGGTTCTTTGCTACCAAATTCGTTACTCATTTGCCAGGCTTTACCGGACAGCTTGGCAAATGGAATCATGGTGCGAAGATAGACATTATCGAAGTCCAAGGATACCAAGGTTGGGTCCACAAGGCTATCTTGAATGACGAACGGGACTCCCAAGCCAAGACTGGATCGGCGGTCAAGTGTGAAGACTGACCAAAAGACTCTCAGGGCTACTTTGCGCGCTCCTTCCTCAGGGAAATGCTTCATCAATGTATCTCGACGATGAAGGCCCATTTCTAGACATCGCCGCGACGCGAGACAGGCGTACCTGCTAGCCTTGGGCTCTTCATCCAAGTTGTAGTAGAATAGTGCCTATTAAAGAGATATTATTAGCCACTAGTTCGCGGAATGGTGCGTACGAAGAAAACTCACAGTCGAGACCAGGAGTTGAATACCGCTGAGGCCCTCAGTGTTCATCAGTGAGTCTTCCGACGTATCAAGAACATCTTGCATTAGCCGCATAGCCGCGTCTGTCCCTGCAACACCCAACTCAGTGATCATGCCAATAGCGACGAGTATCTTCATAATCTGAGTTTCGATGCTGTACAGCAATTCTATGCAGTTGCCAAAGCCGCCCTGACATGGCCGTCCTCGGACCGAATCCAAAGCTTCGAACAGGAGCTGTATCTTTGGAGCAAGGCGCGAGCGATCGATAACTGGATACATTGCCCCTACCGAATTATGATAGATGTCGATATACTTCAATGCATCAGATCGCTCAAATTTCCACAGAGGGTCTCGTGCCAAATCTCTTCTCAGAAGTGTTCTGTCAGCGGTCTGGATTCTGGAGATAGTGGCGAAGGACGGAAACCTGTTTGGTCGGTTCGGGACGCCGATAGAGCATCTAAACCCTAACTCACCCAGGCTTTCGTTGGCCACTTCGAAGGTGAATTCTGAGCTGGTAGGTCCGTGATATTCTGGGGAGATAGTTTCTGGAGCTTGTGCAGTGTTCGCCTGCATGGACTGGTCTCTTGCCTCTGGATCTGTGGCTCGCGCCGGGTCAACATGAGAAAAGTTCAGCTCCGCCGTATCCTCAGTGTTGGTCACGGGATGATGAATTGTCTCGGGGAGACTGGTGGGAGATATTGCGCTCAGCTTTTCGTGGAGCTTCTCCACTTTATCCACCAAAGCACGTATCTGCATGCTCATTTGAAGTAGTGTCCTATCTTGGGTACCTGATAACCCCTCGAGGTTCTCCGAAGGCAGAATCGCGGGCTGGGCGGATGCGACACCATTGTGTCGTGACGTCCGATGATAGCTGCACGGCACCATGCTGTTGACACATCGCTGACAGGGTTCTTCACCGTCACACTTTACCTTTCGTCGCTTACACTCGTTACTGACGAGAAGAAAGGTTAACTATCATGGAATTTGACAGAAACGTAAGAGAAGTGTGCTTACCAGGCGTTTGAAACATAACGAGGTCGCTTAGCCTTAGAGCCACGCTCTAGGGTGCCCTCAACGACCCTCTTGCTCCGATGTTCACCGTGGCCTCTAGTACTCTGTTGGTCTGTCATTATTGCCATTTGTTCAGTGCTGTGGTTGAATATAGTGATGATCTTTGAGGATGTGCTTGAGAATAAGCCAGGAGCAACGGCGAAAGATTGGTCGTAGGCGCGGGCAGCTTATGTACCCCATGTGCTCACCGGCACTGCCGAGCGGTTTCATGCGGGGTTTTGTGGCACCAGCCTGCACCTGCCCAATAGAGGGAGGGCTGCTGATCGCGAAGAGACCGATGGTGCCGAGAGCTTAAAGCAACGAAGACTAATATCATGTAGATCGACGTATTGCAGCTGACGAGGAAATAGAGGCTGAGTGGTGTTTCGTTGATGCAGTATATGTGGTATTCCATGCTTCAAGAATCAGAACCCAAACCACTGCTCCAGGGCCGCCTTGGCCGCGTCCACATCTGGCTTCATATGGTCATCAACCGCCCAAGCAACAACCCCATCAGGTCGAACTAATAAAGCACGCAGCCCTCGCGTGTCCCTAGCGCCCAGGCCAATATATTCGACTCTGGCCTTGTACTTCCCTTCGGCAACCAGTTGCTTGAATGCTGCATCGTCCTCGAAATCAACAAGAAGTCCCCGACCATGTTCCAGTTTGGATCCTAGCCTGGAGCCGTCATACAGTTCGAAATCCGGTGTGCTGCAGCCGACAAGTGGATGGGCATACGCCTCACCCTCGCCAAGAGCGTACCGTTGTGACAGGCCCGAGAAGCGACCGATGAACAAGTTGGTCCCGTCAGTAGTGTCAATTAGGTCACGAATGAGCGCCTGGACAGCCGCACCGTACGGGTCGGGCTGGAGCACCACAACTTGTGCTCGCGTCCACTGGAGCACCCAGGCCCCAGCGGGGTGACGCTCACTCTCGTACGTGTCGAGCAGTGCCAGGTCTGATAGAGGACCATCAGACCCCGATTCTCGTCGCACGGTTGCGGCAAGCTTCCAGCCTAGATTCATAGCGTCGCCCAACCCGAGGTTCATGCCCTGGCCTCCAAGCGGTCCGTGGATATGCGCGGCATCGCCGGCGAGGAGGACGCGGCCCTTGCGATAGCTAGTTGTTTGCTTGCACCGGTCGGTAAACGTTGAGACGAGGTGGATCTTCGTGATCTTGACATCTGTTATTCCTGATATGCGGCGAAAGACGCTTTGAACGTGCTCCTTCCCGATGTCCTGTGCGCGGTCGAAGGCACCACCGTCAAAGTCCGTCATGTAAAGAGTGTCAGGCTTTCTTATAATATACAGTCCGGCATTCGTGATGTGGAAATCCGGTCTTAACTTGTCGGGGTAGTCCCAGTCGCACTGAGCCACGTAACCAGTAAACTTGGGCTCCGTTCCAACAAAGTCGAATCCTGCAGACCTGCGAACCACACTTCGTCCGCCGTCACATCCCACGAGCCGCTTCCCGCAAAACGATTGGTTTTCTCCAGCTTCCACCGTGACGCTGTCGTCGCCATGTGCTACTATCTTCGTAACAGCATTACCCCTTAGAATTGTAACGCCCAATTTCTCAGCACGCTCCGTCAGTACCGCCTCGACGCGGTCAATAGTGGTAGGGCCAGGAACCAGGGTCGGCCCTGGGAGGCGATATTTCCAACGGTCCATGTCCAATTTGTTGGCGTCAAGAGGGATGCCGGCAAAGTGACCGCCGAACTGGAAACCTGGGGTTTTCTGATAAGATGAGGGCCGCTCCCCAGGGACAAAGAGCTTGCTCAGCAGCCCTCGCCAGTAGAAGTTTTCAAGTGATGGCGAGTTCATGCCACGAAAGCCCAACGGGTCGGCTTTCCAGGGCGATTCAGGCCTGCAGTCACGTTCTAGGACAAGAACAGATGCATGAGCTAGTCCTAGCTCGCAGGCCAGAAAGAGCCCGATAGGGCCTGCGCCGGCGATGACAACGTCGTAGAGCTTGCTCATGGTTGAGTGCGCCGAGAATGTAGCTCCGAGTTTTTGGGGTAGACGCGTCTGCTCGCAGTAAAGAATGCATTTCTGGAGGTTCCATGGGAGTTTTAATAGCTACACTGAGGCACTACAGACGCTCTTTGACTTCGGCCCCGTTGGAGTTGAAATTATATAGGCAGAAAGAGGGAAAGGAGGGAAGCCCCCCGATGCCCTTGCCAAGCCTCGGGGAGATTCGAGGTCTTTCGGGGTCAGAATCTCCGAGCGAGCAAGCTTTCGGGGAGACGAGCCTCCAGTTTCCCCGAGATCCGCAAAACCACCAATCGGATCACCTCTTGCTATCCAGCCTTGCCTGATTCTCCCTGTAATGACTTATCGCTTGCATGTGCCAACGTTACTGGGTTTGATCGATCAAAGGCTCCCTAAGGCTCGGTTCCCCAGAGTTACGGGAGAGTCACCACAGGCGTTCGCCTAGCAGATGGCATATCTTTTCTGCTAGAGCTCGAGCCTCACATTCACGACTACTGCACTCTCAATCACACCGACCCCCACTCACGATGAGCCTTCCAGATGTCTCGCCGGGACCGACACCCACTAAGCGCAACTCTGCTGCTTGCGTTCACTGTTCCGATTGAAAAGTCAGGTGTGACAAAGTCCGCCCATGTAGTACCTGTGTCAGACACGGTGTGCCATGCATTTTTCCTCCGCCAAAGCCAAGGGTGCCTCGAAAGAGACGAAAATGTGTACACATCGAAGAGTATGAGAAGTTACTGAAGCGATATGAAGCATTACGCCGAGACAAAGACGTCAAAATCGACCGGCCCGAGGTCATTATGTCTTCACAGGACGAGCATCATATCACTAGCAGCCGCTCAGAGATACCTCAAACCGTTGGGCAAGTGACACCACCAGACTTAGCTGTCTCTGGGCTACAAACAACAATCTTCGAACCTCGGTTGCTGCAGGGCCAGGGAGGCATGAAGCTTGTCCACAAGTAAGCAATAATTTCTTAATCTCAAGAACGAGGCTGATTCCCAATAGCAGCTTGTGGTCAAGAGTGGCCGAAGAGGTACGTGGTCTTAGCTCGTCGTGGCTCCTGCGGACTTGACAGCCTTACCCGTCCTACTGCTGACGGTGTGGTTAGATCCACGACGCAGGGGGCCCACTTGAAGAAGACTCAACAGACAACACAAGCGAGGATGAGCCGTCCCATGATGATTTTGCTTACGTTCTAGGCCGCAACGCAACCGTGACTATATCCTCACACCCACCCCCTCAACTCATCAATCAATTATGGCAGATTTTCATTAGAAACGTTAATCCACTTACGAAGGTGGTGCATGTACCAAGCCTTCAGTGTGCAATAGAGAAAGCAACCAACAGTATCGAACATATCCCGAGAGGATTTGAAGCACTCATGTTCGCCATATATACCACCGCTATTTTGTCGCTTACACAGGACGAATGCAAACAAATACTAGGGGAGACCCGAGCGATACTGCTTCCCCGTTACGTTGCTGCTACAAAAGCAGCCTTATCTCGTGCAAGATTTATGAGCAGTACTAGCCTTGTGGTCTTGCAGGCACTGGTACTCCACATTCTTTCCATCCGAGACAGCTACGAACCCCGTGCTGTGTGGAGCCTCACTGGAGCTGCAATTCGCGTTGCAGAAGGTATGGGAATGGGCCTCGATGGCACATTGCTTGGTTTGCCGCCTTTTTAAACTGAAATTCGTCGACGCATCTGGTGGCTACTCAGGACACACGACTTCCGCGCGGCAGAGTTGAGTGGTCAGCCAAAGTTCCGAGACTTCGAACTCGATGATAGCACCCCTAAAATGCCCGCTAACGTCAACGATAGCGACCTGTATCCTGCAATGTCACGAGCAGCTGTTGAGTCGGGAAGACCAACAGAGATGATATGGTGCATGGTCAGATCGGCGATGGCCACTTTCGCGGCTGGACAGACAGCAAAAATGGCCAAACTACGAAAAGTCGCGCTTACCTGTGATGAATACGCTGCTATGGACGACTTGGAGCGAAGGGACAATTTTATCAATGGGATCCAAGACATGTTGGAGACAAAGTACCTGCAATTTTGCGATCCAGCTAACCCCCTACAACTTATGGCCCTTGTTGGTGGTGGTCGAACAGCAACAAATCTTGTCCGATTTATGGCTCACCATCCACGCCGATGGGCCTACCAGGACAATGTGCCAGAATCAGAACGAAATTTTGTCTGGGGAGTCGTTACTCGGCTCCTAGAGCAGTACAACATGATGCAGTCACACCAACATCTGAAGCGTTTCGCTTGGCACGTGCCCTACTTCATCCAATGGCACGCTGTCATCCACATCCTGGACACGCTCCGAGCAGACCCCTTACACAGTGACGCTCAGAGAGTTTGGCGGCTCATCGATATCTTGTTCGAAAACAATCTAGAAATCTTTCTGGGTATCAACAGGCCAATCATCGCGGCGGTCGGCAATCTTTGTTTGAAAGCATTTGGCTCTCGCGAAGCCGTTTTGAGGGCCGAGAAAAAAAGTTGCTCCCATCCGCCGGAATACATTACCAAGCTTCGGGAACAACGAGATGCAGCAAAAGCAAGAAGAGAAGCATTGACTAAGAGCAAGGGAGATTGAGCAACCAAAACATATTAAGGGCAGCGGACAAGGACTACGCACTGTCAGATACAAAATCGAGATCAACAGAAGCAACCATTGCAATTCAACTGCAGCAGGTTAACAGCTTTCCAGGGAGCACCTGGACTGAAGATGACGCATGCTGGCTCACCGATAACCCAGACGAAGGCTTTCCCCTTGATGGAGCAACCGACATGACGAGCCTATATACGGATGCCATTCTGGCGCAAGACTATTCACTTAATGTCCCCAACGAGGATGCCATAGACTGGGAACCATGGGATACCTGGTTTAGCCATCTAGACCCTTTACATCCAAATATCGTCCCGCGACCAGAACGACGGATCAGCGTCCAGAGCCTGATCTCGAAGTGATGGATACAGATACGCCCAGCCCCAACAACTCAACAGTCGGCTTTGGAGTGCCGATTTGGCGTGTCTTTCCTTACTGCCGCATCGCCCAACCCGAGTGTCGTCGAAGTGCATCATTGTCCAAAACGGCCCCGGCCGCCGCGAGAGGTGCTTTGGCGTCTGAAGTTCAAGTATCCGATGCCCCCCAAAATTCTCGGGTTACTCCTTCAAGGCTTCCTCCAGGGCTTGCAAGTTGTGAGGGATGAAGTGGACCTTGTACGGTTTCGGCTGTGTCGTCAGCGAAGCAGGGTTTGCCACTCCTTCAATAGGACTGGTCTCGATGAAGCCGTCCGGGACGATCTTGAAGCTGTTCATGATTCTCAAAAACAAAACATACAGCTCTCTGTATGCGAGTTGTACGCCAATGCACATTCGGCCCCCTGTGCCGAACGTGAAGATGGGAGTTTCGGGCCTGTCTAGCCAGCGCTCGGGACGAAATTGATCTGGATCTTCCCACAATTCCGGATCTGGAAGACACCAAATTCTCAGATTGATAAGGCAAAGGATGTACCTAAAGCGCACTTACCCATATTGCAGGCCCAGACATTCAGGAATAACACTGTTCCTTTTGGTACAACTTTATTATCATAAACGAAGTCCTGAATGGTACAACGCGGAAGTGACAGCCTCGTGACTGAGAAAAACCTGCGAAAAACAGATATGAGCATAGTACGGCGACTTGTTGAATTTGAGTTGAAACTAACCTCAAGATCTCTTTGATGACTGCCACAAGATATGAGCAGCTCTGGTCGTCTGCGGCATCGCAAAGGGGATTCTCTTCAGAGTAGGTCTCGCGGATGGCCGCGAGCGCTTTCTCCTGAATGTCCTGTCGTTTCGCCAGCATTCCAATTCCCCACGACACAGCAGAGTTCATCGTATCAAGACCAGCAGCTAAGAGCGTAAGATTCAGTGAACTCAGCTCCAGGTCGTTCAGCTGCGCCTCCTCATCAACGAGAAGGTTGGCTCTGATCGATGGCTTGTGAGTGCCATTCCGGATACGTTCGTCTAGGTCCTTATCCAGGATCTGCATATATCTGTCTCGGCGGATTTTCATGTCTTTGGCCTGCGTGGATTGTGTGTTCCAGGGATTCAGACGGAGGAGCGGTATATAGTCCTGCAAGTTGCCCGTCGTGCTTCGAAAGTTGCTGATGGTGTCTTCTACATGGACAATCTCATGGAAGAGCTCGTTCTGTGACTCCATTCTTGTTCCCCAATGAAGAGTAAGACCGATACTCATGTTCATACGAAGAAAAAGTGGCATAGGGTTGACCCCTTTCTTGCCAAAGTCACCATAACTGAGAGCCTCGGAGAGGAAAACTCGGGTTTCTCGATCGAGGTGTGGAATATAGCTGGCCACAGCGGGTCGATTCACCGCCGTCGCCACCGCCTTCCTTCTTCTCTTGAGAGATTCAGACCATGGACTTGTTCCCAATGTTGTCCCCGCTGTGTCCGAAATGATCTTGATGTTGCGGTTAGTTTGTTTCAAGAACAACAAGTACTAAACATAGCCGAGCTCACTTTATGGAAGGTGTAAAATTCGGGTCTTGAGCTTGTGGCGTGCGAATTCTGGTTGAAGATGGCCTTCGCCGCCGCCGCCGAGTTGACCACGAGGACCGGTATGTTTCCAAGCTGGATTTGGTAGACGGGCCCGTACCTCTTGGCCCACTGACGGTACTGCTCCGGGGCGTCCTTTTGGCGAATTTGCCACAAGTTGCCCACAATAGGTTTCCCGGGAGGACCTCCGAAGCCAGGCACTCGCGCCGACGAACGGACGAATTCATACAGAGTGAATGCGACCAGAGTCGTCACCGCCACAAGTGCTGGCAGTATTGTCCATCTGGTCTCAATGATCTTAGCAGCATATAACAAAGCCATCGTTGCGGTTCTGGTTGAGGCTCAAAGGCTTCGCTCAACAAAGGAATAGGTATATGCGAGGAAGAGTGCTTTCCATCTCGGTCACTTGAGACTCATGGACAGTCATAAGGCGGCTTTAAAGGCTTGATGCTTGCAGCCAATTGTTCAAGCGACGAGCGTCCTTGTGATGTTTGGTTCCATGAGACCTGAGGCGTCTGAACGGAAGACCTCCGAGATTCCGACTTATATCGCAAACCTGAATATTTGGTGGTACACCGCTCATCTTGCGGCTTTCCGAGATCCCGGTCATCAACCTATCAATCTTTCGGCACATCAGCAATTGGATAAGGGTGGTTTCGAGAAGATGATCTCATTAAGTGCTGACAATATGAAAGATGGCTCATGGCTCAGTTAGGAAACAATTGTATACTTTGCGTGGCTGATTTTGTTCGGGAGTATGCCGATGTTAAATCTTGTCGGATGCGAAGGTTTCATACCCCCTCCCGGTATCGGTGAGATAGAGAGACATTGTTAAAATGGCGTTCCACCTTGCGGTCGTCTCTGAGGATTGGCCCTAGGAGTACCTGAAATCACTGCTGAGCGCTGATTCATTGTGCTGCCGAAGACGCAGGATGACTCAAGTCAGACGACCATTCAAAGATGTCGAATCAGAACGTCCAGATTTCGATCACTCTACCAACTTTGTCTTGTCAAAAACTATATGTCCAGATTGGAAATGGGGTCAGGGTGCCCATGACGGCGGTATTGGTTTCGACAAGAAACACATCGAAATCGACCCTTATGGACCAGGGCGATCTGCAGTGAACAACTACAAATTGCTGATCTCTGGAATTATCCCAAGACCCATTGGCTTCTTGAGCACTCGAAACGAGGACGGCACATTGCGGAATTTGGCCCCTTTCAGCTACACACAAATAGTGAACCATGACCCACCAGTGTTTGTGGTGGGGTTTACAGGCTCAAAGGACAAGGATACGCTGAGGAACCTCAAAACTACCGGCGAATGCGTCATCAATATCATCAGTGAACATTTCATCGAAGCTGCAAATGCCGCAGCTATCGATGCCCCCTATGGAACGAGCGAATGGGAGTTGGCAGGCTTGACGCCTGCCCCCTGTCGGGAAGTCAAAGCGGATCGGGTCAAGGAGAGCATGTTCAGTATCGAGGGAAAACTGCTCGAGATCAAGGATTTCGAGAGCAGGTTCACTAGAGGCACAAAGTCGGGCTCCATGGCCATTATTGAGGGCGTACGCTTCTGGGTTCGTGAAGACGCCCTGACCGCAGATCAAGCCAGCATCGACCCTGCTGTGTTTCGCCCTGTTGCTAGACTGGGAGGAGTTGCCTATGGCCGAGTCGCACAGGCCTTTGAGATACCGAGACCTAAATACGAAGAGCTCAAAGACCAGCTGCCAAATTAGCAAGGCAGACAGTACAATTGCATATATCTACGGATGGCATGACATGGCAGAAAACGTTACATAGTGCTTCGTTCACCATTTTCACACCCGTTGAAATATGCTAGAGCAGGACTATGGGTAAGGTCCAGCCAACAAAATACTTCATATTTACAGTTGAGTCCTGCTAGCCTTCCGAAGACGGAACTTCCGCAAGTCAATAGAAGGAGACAGCCGACCAAGACGGAATGGCATAAATAGCCAAACCAGAACCATTCTCAGGCTCCGCATTTAAAGAACCCATTCTTCGACCACGCGGACGACAACGTAGGCTTTGATTGACAAAAATTTAGTGACGAGAGACATATTCCGCAATGGCACCATCGTCATGGATTGACATTGCCTCTGATAGTCGGTTTTCCCTCGCCAATATCCCATTCGGCATCGCCACCTTTCCAAATTCAGAGAAACCAACAGTGGCTGTCGCCATTGGAGATTATGCTCTCAACTTGGCCGTTTTTGCCTTGCGCGACGGATTTTCTCAGCTTACAGAGATTCAGGCTCAAATTGGAGTCTTCGACCAACAGAGCCTCAACGGTCTTGCGGCCTTAGGGCGAAGCCTCTCGGGGACTGTACGACGCTATTTACTAAACATCTTCCGGGCGGACACGCCCTACCCTCATCTACTAAAAGACAACCAGGAGCTGCGAAACCAATGTCTTGTGCCCTTGACGCAGATTCGTATGCATCTCCCATTTCAGATCGGAGACTTTAGCGATTTTTACGGAGGAATGAACCATGCGTACAACGCCGGGGCGCTGTTTAGGGGCCAGAATGGAGCTCTCTTGCCAAACTATGTGCACCTTCCAATGGCCTATCATGGCAGATCGTCTTCAATATTTGTGTCAGGGACTCCTGTACGAAGGCCATGGGGCCAGATTGTCGAGGATATCACTGCCGCCAAGAAGCATCCAATACTTGCCCCGTGCCGCTCTATGGACTTCGAACTCGAACTCGGCTGTTTTGTCTGCGGTGGTAATCAGCCATTCGACAACATCTCGATCAAGGAAGCAGAAAACAACATATTCGGCTTCGTCTTGCTGAACGATTGGTCGGCACGAGACATCCAGCGGTGGGAATATGTACCTCTGGGCCCATTCAACGGCAAGAACTTTGCGACTACAATCAGCGCCTGGGTTGTCTTAGCAGATGCCTTGGAGCCCTTCAGGAAACCCGGGATGAAACATCCAGGAACAGTCTTGCCGTATCTGCAGGAGCAGCGCGAAGCCTTCACATATGATCTGAACCTAGAAGTACAGCTCGTGAGTGGCAGCACGAAAAGGGCATCAACCATCTGTTCGACCAACGCATCCGATGGACTGGTCTGGTCTTTCCCTCAAATGCTTGCCCACCACACCATAACAGGTTGTACCATGAGAGCTGGTGATCTCCTAGGATCAGGGACGATTAGTGGTTTGACTACTTCATCGCTGGGATGCTTGTTGGAACAGACGTTGAATGGAAAGCGGCCAATTCAACTTGAAGGAGGAGAGCAGCGAGCATGGCTGGAAGATGGCGATGAGGTTATCTTGAAAGCTTGGGCTGGCAACGAGATTGATGGATATGTTGGTTTTGGCGATGCTGCTGGAGTCTTGCTATCTGCTCACAAGCAGATTGCGTAAGAATACGATACCTTCGCCTAGGTGAATGTTGAAAGTGCTTGCCCTCATTGATAGTCTTCACATGTCGCGTTTGGTAATCGCGCAAGGACCGCCCACTCATGGTTCCAAAAAGCGTTACTTCCTACACACCGAATTTGAAGCCCAGGGTCTCGGCTTCAAGAAGCCTTCTTGCCAAATTGTCTGTTGTCTGACCCTCTTCTCTCCTTGATCATGGATGTCGTGGATAGTCGGTGAAAATTTGAAAATGATATTCGACAGGGCGCTCGGAGGTACGGAAACATACTTGCTCGGAGGCGCTCGGAAATTTCCGAGCCTTGTCAGCCGGACCCTTCAGGAGGCAAATACGAACTCGGCAGAATTGACCTGGGATCTGCGAAAACATACCTAGGTAGCCTAGAAGCTTGGAGCCAGTGGCCTGATGAGCGAGCGAGGATTATCTATATTGGCGTCCTTAATATTAAAGAGTGCTTGTTGAGGTAAATCGGGTCACAGCACACAACTCTCCACCGGACCATCACACACGATGCCTTTCTCTAAGTTCAAGACGCCTGAGAAGTACAGATACCAAACCGGCTTTGGGTCTTATCAAGAGTAGGTGACATTTCCACAGAAGGACTCCATCGTGTTCCTTGCTTTCTCCGTACTCATCTAACAACTCCAAAATAGATCTGAAGCGGTCGAGGGTGCTCTGCCAATTGGACAAAATACACCACAGCGGCCCCCATTCGGCTTATACACAGAAAAGATTTCAGGCAGTGCTTTCCAAGCGCCCAGACCGGATAATCAGCAGACTTGGCTATATCGCATAATCCCGTCAGCCGTACACGAACTGTTCGAACCAGAAGTTCTACAGGACGGTGCCGAGCAAGCCACCAATTACAATGCCTACAACGATCTTGTGCATACCCCAACGCAGGTGCGCTGGGACCCATTCGATATCGAGGAGAAGGCGGATTGGGTGCATTCGATGCGCTTACTCTGTGCCGCCGGGGATGTGTCGACGAAATCAGGGCTGGGCTACTTCATTTTCACGGCGGGACAGTCGATGGATCCTACATCAGCCTTCTCCTCGACGGACGGCGAGCTTTTGATCATCCTCCAGACTGGCGTCCTCGACATTAAGACGGAGTTAGGCCACTTACTGGTACGGCCCCTGGAGATCTGCGTGATCCCTCGAGGGATCAAATACAATGTGTTGCTCCCCGAGGGTCCTGTACGGGGCTATGCGCTCGAGCTCCATCAGGGGGTCTTTACGCTTCCGAATCTTGGCCCGCTAGGATCCTTCGGGTGTGCCAATACCAGGGATTTCCAGATCCCGGTCGCTGCATATGAGGAAGCCACGGAAGGCGTCGAGTACAAGATCATCAGCAAGTTCAACGGCCGTCTCTACGAGGCCAGGCAGGACCATTCACCCTTTGACATCGTCGCCTGGCACGGGACATACTACCCGTACAAGTACGACCTTGGCCGCTTCATGACCGTCGGGAGTATCTCCTACGACCACCCCGACCCGTCGATCTTCACCTTACTGGCCTCGTCGGAGGGCGTAGCAGAGCTGGCCATATTCCCACCGCGCTGGCTGGTCATGGAGAACACATTCCGGCCCCCGTGGTACCACCGAAACACGATGGCCGAGTTCATGGGCCTGATCCAGGGCGAGTACGATGCCAGGACGGACGGCGGGTTCCAGCCTGGCGGAGCAAGTCTCCACAATGTCATGGTCGGACACGGTCCCGACAGCGCTACGCACGCCCGCGCCTCAGAGATGGAGCTCCTCCCTCAAAAGGTCGGTGAGGGCAGTATGGCATTTGTCCTGGAGGCGAATGTGCTCCTGGGCCTGAGCCAGTGGGCCTGGTCCAAGTCGAACAAGAGGCAGTTGAACTATAATGCTCGGACGTGGCTGGGGCTGAGAAGTCACTTCAAGAAGCCCGAGGGGGCCAAGGTGATTTCGCCATTGCTTGATCAGCAGCTAAAACCCAGTGGGGAGGTGCAGGCGAAAGTGAATGGTCATTGAAACTCCAAAGTTGTATCTTATGCGTAGCAGTATGAGATGATGCCTTCTTCCAAAATATGAGAAATAAGACAGCATGTGTGACTACGCTCGGCGTTGTAAAACGCGGGATGTCTTTATGATCTGAATATTATTAGGCCGCTGTAAAGATATCTGATTAATGAATGGCAAAATGACCGGAGAGCCGCAAGGCTGACCATTGTCTAACCAGACGATTATTGCAGTGGGAAAGCTTGACAGATTTCGTGCGCTGACACCCTCACAACGGCGAACCGGCACGTCCAGCGCCCGCAAATGCGTTTTGCAATGACTCCCAGATCGGCTGACCCTCATATGTGAGATCCCCAAGTGGTGGACACGTCAGAGGATCAAGTGCCGCGCCCAAGGCCTCCGTAAGTAATTTCAAGGGAACCGCCAAGGCCGAATAGAGCGGGGACAGAGAGTCCGGCGAGACAGTATTGACAATCTGGAACGCGAAACAAAGCAGATTGTTGCCTTCCAGCAACGTCGCTGCATTCAGAAAGCCGCCTGACAGATCTGCGATGTCCAATGGTGTGAAGGAGTTGACGGTGCCCGTATTGCCTCCAATCGACGCCAGTTGGGGATACTCGACGAACCATTTCACCAAGTCCAAGTTGAGCTGCACCAAGCCATAGTCGACTGGGGTTTTGTACCAGTTGTTCGGGATGCGCTCCCATCCTCGTTTGTACTGGAGCGAGCCATCGCTGTTGTCGAACACGCCCCAGAAAGACTTGAATACCTCCTTAGCTGATCCAACAGTCAGTAATGTCCCTCCGCATGTCGAACCTTGATCCACTTACTCATGATCCCCTGCGGGTTCTCTATGGAATGGTTCGCCAACAAGCGAAGGGTAAATGCAATTCCAGCATTACGGGCAATGGCGCCAGTATAGGGTCCATACCAACAGTAGGGGTTGGTGGCAATGCATTCGTTGAGCATATCAACCCCATGTAGGAGCACATCATCTTCCGAAATAACATCGGTACCCTCGCCAGCACGGTTATAAAGCTGAAGAAAGCGGCTCATGTCCATCGTGGAAGCATCACCAGTGACATAAAGATCATCGCGAGTGAGTGAAGCATCAGCCTCGATCCAGTTGTGCGACCTCCCAATGCCTCGTGGTTCACCAAGAAGCCCCAGCAGGTTTCCGAGAAGATTCTGGGCTTGGGGGGACGATTGGTCAATAGAGAAACCTGGACTCAAGGCTATCGGGTTGCCGGTCCAGACAGTGCCTGAACAGACTTAGCTGGCGCTTCTGCTTTGGGGTTTGCTATGTCGTACCCATAACGGCCAGAATTGTTGATAGCCCAATGTCCATTCCGTACACTTATTTCATAGTTAACACCGTCTTTGTACAGATTAGCTGTTGCAATATTCACCTTCATTGATGACGCCGATAATATCGGGAAACTGATAAATTCAATCGTTAGACTCAATGAGAACCACAATTCTGGACTTTGACCTGCCTTTGCAATTCCAGAGCGATCAATATAGCCATGGTTAGCTAATGCATTGAGTCCGGGACATGGCCCTCGTTGTGCGCTCGAAGTAGGCGCCTTCCATTGATACTTGCCATCGACTTGTGGTGTGTTAGTCATGAACTTCAAAAGTCACACGAACAGGTTACCTTGGATGGGTGTATCTAAAGGGTTGACCAGGAGCCTTTTCTCTCGTTGATGTTGTACTTGACGAATAATGTCTTCGAACGTCAAGTCCGCTGGGATATCAAATCCGCCCGCTCGAGCGAGAAGCGCGACATTGGAAGCCGTGGGGAATGCCGAGGAAAACACACAGCTACCCAGTAGTGCGGCACAAGTTGAAAAAAAGAACTTCATCTCCAGAAAAAAACGAACGACAATGCCACTGAACTGGCCAGCGACGTACCAAAAGAGCGAATGAAGTGAGTTGGCAAATGGTGTTGGTAGAGCAGAATCAGAGAATCAACATATTGTACGTAGAACAATGAGGGCTACTATCAGTGGCCATTGGAATTTGAAATTCTGCACCGCTAATTGGGATGCAGATCAATGATGTCGACTCATCTCGCGGGAGCGGACGTTCATCATCGCATGAGGCCAGCCAGTTAGCAAGCGACTAAAGAGGCAAGCATCCTCCCAGGAGCTCAGACTTCAGGCGAGAACAGCAAAAAACAGACGGAGTGGGCCTATACCTGCCAGTGTCGAGCACTGATTTCGTTATCAAAACTTCTCGAGTCTGGAATAGTTACTCAGGGTACGGAGTACCTGACAAGGGGCCAAAAATTCCATGCCACCATGCCCCCGCCGTCACCAACTAGGCTCAAGGTCGTGCAAGGTCGTGCTAAAGACCATCGCGACAGCATGGATCAAACCCCACACTTCTCAACGGCCCGGGTGGCTGACTAGTGGGAAAGTAGTTCTCGGGGATGCAGCTCCTGATGCAGCTTGGGACGAGTGCATTAACATTGCCCCTGGCTAATTCTCAGGCGACAGACTCTCAGCTGGATGATCTTGGTTGCATATGTCTGCCACGGATTCCTCAGTGAAATCCTTTTATTTTCCATAGAAACTCTAGTCTGCGTTTTGGGTTGCTATTCGGGTGTGGTGCACTGCAGTCAGCATTCTGCGAAGGAAACCATGCCCAGCTCAAGATCACCTTTTGCAAACCTTCATGACGCCAAGGCCAGGACTGCAATCATGAGGGGTTGTCCCTGTTCGAGACCTGGATCACCCGATAGTTCCATACGGAGGTATGTCGTAGGTATTTCTTGGTCGATGATCATGACTCGTTTGAATCATGTGGATCGCACAGCGGGAGAAAACGAAACTCCGTGGTGGACAGCGTGTTGGGGCAACCTGAAATAAGAGACGCTTGGCCCGACGGGGTACTCCGTGCCTACTCCTTGGAGTCGTTTTCTGCAAGGCAAATCCTGTCCAGGCTTAGCCGATTCCAAGATTCTGGGAGTTGGCGTGGGAAACGGGAAAGGAGGCGGGCGCACGAGGCTGGGGATTATCCCTGTAGCTGGTAGCTTGCGACTAGAGACACGGCCTAGTACGCGAGTAGCTAAAGTTAACGGGATTGGCAGGGCCTGAAAGCGGAGTCTCTTGTTGATTTTGTTCGATAATGGCGACGAGGGAGACCCTCGAATGCTCAATTTTTCTGCAAGGGAATACCCAGTTCTGGAGTATAGACATGTCTTCTGCTGCCGGGGTGGTCATTTCGTCTAGGCCTGCCCTGACGTCGAGCAAATTCATCGGCGAGATCCATTTCTTTACCTGCCCCGTCAATAGACCATAGAACTCTTCTGTACACCCACATTATTCAAGTCTTGTTTGATTGCATAATTGCGCGCTCCCGTTGAGTGGGTACATCGACTGCGCAGGTCTCGAAGAAGTCTAATAACGGGGAAGAATCCACGAGAATATTGCTCCTGCATCCCGGTCCTGGTCACGCAAATCTTTCACAACTCTGAGTATCCTCGCTGTTGATCTTTCTCCAGATCCTCTCATCAACTGACATCTGTGCTTTTGCTCTATTCTCGAATTTTTCAAGTCTGTGGGCCAACGCCAATAGACCTCGTCATCAGGCCTGTCAGTTCTCCACCGATTTCAACGGCGAACAAGCTTCCATTGTCTCATGCATGCATCCCTGGTGGGCTCTTGATAGCTCGAGAGACCAAGCTGCGACTATACTAGACAGCCCTCCTGGGAACTGGACAGACAATTCGCGAATAATTGAAAGATTCGAGGCCAAGGGGAAGCGACTCCCTTGAGGTCTAGCAGGCGTTTGGCCCTTAACATAGAGCCATATCATGACTCTGTTGCTCGCCTCTTCTCATCGATAAACTTCTCACGAGTAAGAAGGGACTTTTTTCTGTGTGTCCGGAGGACAGATTCCCGAAGATGAGAGTTTTAACTGCCATATTCTTTTTGATAACGACAACCTTGCTTCCTGTTGTCACTGCGGACCTGGAGTCTGCAGCAGCTCTTTATCCCAAATGTGGTGTGAGTGAAGATCCTCCTCTCAAACTTCTCATTGCTAAGAAGTGTAGCTTGATTGTACTCTGGCAGGCATTGCTCAGTCAAGTTGTGCTCCAACGGACCAAGCATGTATTTGCACAAACCAGCAGTTAGCCAAAGCCATCACAGTGTGCGTGGCCATGAACTGTACGATCAGAGAGCAGTTGAGTAAGTTCGAGAGTCGAAAAACGGGACAATAGGGTGAACCCATGCTAACGCTCCCAAAGCTACTAAGAATGTGTCCATGACGGCCTGCGGCGCACCGATCCGCGACAGAAGCGGCCTCATCTCTGGCTTCGGAGCAGGGGGAGGCGCAGTTGCCCTTCTTATTTACGTGGTTCGCATCTTTGCAAAAGTCACCGTGCCTGCGGCAAAGATTGGTTGGGACGATATTACCATCACTATCGCAGTGGCAAGACCCCAAATGTCCTTTTGACTCGAGGACTCGGTGCTAACTCTAATGGCAGGTTCTCCTTGTAGTGTTCTCAGCCTTGTCAATAGTACGTAAGTAGCAACACATGGTTTTTGCTCCACTTTCATGCTGACTCTTGAAGTTGCCAATCATGGTTATGGGCGAGATATCTGGACTGTCCCTTTCGACAACATCACTCTTATTCTCCAGGTTTGCAGCATATTCCAAGAGCAGTTGGCGGGGAAAATCAATCTGACGATGAAACCAGGTCTATTTCGTTGATGAACTTCTTTACATCATCATCATTTCCTTGACAAAGGTGGCGATTATTTGTTTTTACCTTCGAGTCTTTCCAGAAAAGAATTTTCGCCGGATTGCCTTTGGCACCATGGCTGTGACGCTGCTATACATGATTGCATTTCTCATTGTTTCAGCCTTTCAGTGTCAACCAGTGTCGTTGGCATGGACAAACTGGGACGGTGAGCATGAAGGCAAATGCAACAATGTGAACGCTCAAGGATGGGCTGCAGCAGCTATCAACATTGCTCTGGACGTTGTCATCCTGGTTATGCCACTACGACTTGTGATGAAGCTCAGCCTGCATTGGAAGAAAAAGTTACAAATCACGATCATGCTAAGCGTGGGAGCTCTGTATGTTCTATTACGCTTACCCCAAGCCTGTCACAAAAGGAAATCTCTAACTATCTGCTTTCTAGTGTCGTCGTCGTCAGCGCCTTGCGGCTGGACACACTCTTTCAATTTGCCAAATCCCACAACCTCACATGGGACACTACCGCTTTCGGCTACTGGTCGTGCATCGAGATGGACGTCGGAGTCATTTGCGCCTGTATGCCTGCCATGTACTCATTGTTCAAACACTACTTCCCCAAAATAGTCGCCGGGACAATCCAAAGCAGAAGCAAGGTCAGCGGTGCCTATGGCAGCCGGAGCGGCGCTGGAACGCCAGGGATACAATTCGACAGACGCAAGGACGATAAGGACGGCGGACAGGATTTTGTCCGCCTGGTTGACCTTGAGAGCGTCAAGGAAGACCGTGTGGGCACCGCCCCAGGCACTGCATATTAGACAAGTTGATAATGGGAGGATTTTCCGTGAAGCAGCCACCTTTTGGCACATTGCTACAGACAAGAATTTATGGCCAAAGACGGAGTAGAGTTTGCATAAGCTGTGCCATGTCGAAAGCCATCAAAATACGATAAACATGACCAACCTTCACGTTGCAAACCACGAGACTAACTTCATTGAGACTGTTCTAGCTTCTCAAATCTGTAAATTCCAAGGGAAATAAGTCACTTACTATTCATCCGGGCCAAAACTGCTCGAGTTCTGCACTCTCGCCGCTCCCCCATGCAGAGACGTGCTACAGAGAGCACCTACCAAAGTCGTATTCTAGCAGGTGATGTCCTAGCCATGCAAGCCTCCCGTGCGAAGCCCGAGAAGCGCTATTCCAGCGCGGATCCTGTAACAACCGACTCTGCCGCTAACTACTAGTTGATGCAGGGCGCCGGCAACCCCCGGCAGCGGGACCGTCCAACGGCTGGCCAAACGGTGTGGAGCGAGGCAGCCAGCCACAAGCTTGGGCCCGAGGGCAAAGCAAGGGACGGTTGAGTCCAGCCGCAAGTCGCTCAGCCTTGTTGGCTCCATATCTGCCGAATGCGGCTGGCTGTGGAGTTTGGCTCCCATTGCGCATTCGAGGAAAAACCCCTGCCTAGGTGACGAGTCGAGTCGAGCCATGTCGCACGAATACGCGGGCTCCGCAAAACCTTGTCATTGAGATCAAATGGCCTAATACAGTTTAAAGCAACCTTTTTCTTCACTTGCGGTTCCGTCTGCGGCCCTGACCCTTAACTTTGTTTATCCTGTCATGGATGGGGCTTTGTGCATTCGAGGTAATGCCCTCTGCCCTGGCTTCGCATACTTGTCCTGCTTCGGCATCGAGACGTATTCGGTGGTCTGTTTTTGCTAATTAATCCCACCACGTCCTGAACAGAGACCAGAGAGGAACCAGTCGTCGATCCCAATTTCCCATCATCTCATGATAGACGTGATACAACGAATACAGAATAGAACGGCTCCCCTCTTCCAAGATATAAGATATAAACGCCGGCTATGGCTGCTGGTATTGGACTCAATCTTCCAAGCTATCTTCGTCATTCGTTTGGTGTTTTGTGTTTTCATTTGCCGGTGAGCTTCTGTTTTGCTGGCCATGAAGGGAGTTTTAGCTTTAATTACTGTCCTCGGCACGACTGTGTCGGCTTTGTGAGTATATACACCTGCTCTAACGCCACAATCGTCGATTTTGTCAGACTGATAATCCCGTTCTTTAGGTCTGGGGCGGCGCATAGACATTCGCATAATAGATTTTTCAAGCGCGACAACACCACGCAGACTATTCAAGGTGCCAATACCACGGACCCTGCGGCATATGACTATGTTGTCGTAGGAAGCGGGCCTGGAGGAGGCCCGCTAGCATCACGATTGGCCATTGCAGGGTACAAAGTCCTCTTGATTGAAGCTGGAGACGATCAAGGAGATGCAATATGGCAACAGGTCCCAGCTTTGCAACTGCAAGCCACAGAATACACTCCCCAGAAATGGGACTACTTCGTCAATCACTACCAGGATCTAGCACGGCAAGAACAAGACTCCAAAATGGTCTGGAAGACGCCTACCGGAGGCGAGTACGTTGGAAACAGTCCACCGGCTGGCTCGACTCCATTGGGGATCTGGTACCCACGCACGGGAACCCTGGGAGGCTGCTCAGCTCACAACGCGATGATTTCCATCTACCCACACGAGAGCGATTGGAACAACATCGCCTCGATCACCGGTGATAGTTCTTGGAGCGCCGGCAACATGCGCAAATATTTCGAGCGCTTGGAACGCTGCAGATATCTCCCTAACAGCGTCGTGGGCCATGGTTTCGATGGCTGGTACGAGACTAGCCTTACAGAATTGTCACTCGCAGTTGAGGACCAGAAGCTGCTGTCGCTGATCATTGCAGCTGGAACAGCGATGGGCAAGGGTCTTCTCGGGATGGTCCTCAGCACAGTGGCCGGGCTGGGGGAGGTCTTGCTCCGGGACATCAATGCCGATGTCCCCAACAGGGACTCTCAAGAGGGGCTTTATCAGGTCCCAATTGCGGTCTCAGAGGTCGACAAGAAACGCACAGGTGCCCGCGACTTCATCCTCGCCACGGCAAATGCTGTCAACGCCGATGGATCGCGCAAGTACCATCTTGACATCAAGCTCCACACATTGGTCACGAAAGTGCGTTTTGACACTTCTGGATCCAAGCCGAAGGCTATCGGAGTCGACTACCTAGAAGGAAAGAGTCTATACCGTGCCGACCCCCGTGCCGATGTAACAGCTGGTGGCACTCCAGGCAGTGTCAACGCCAATCGCGAAGTTATCATATCCGGTGGTGCATTCAACTCGCCGCAATTGCTTAAACTGTCTGGCATTGGTCCTGCTTCTGAGCTTTCCAACTTCGGCATCCCCGTCGTCGTCGATCTGCCGGGCGTGGGAACCAACCTCCAAGACCGATACGAGGCGACCATTGTTGGAGACAGTAATACCGACTTCGCCATCACCAAGGACTGCACATTCCTCCGCACCCAACCCGACCCATGCTTGGAACAATGGCAAAATCTGCCGGGCCCGTCCCTTAAAGGTACCTACGCCACCAACGGCATCGCCATTGCCGTTGTGAAAAAGTCGTCTGTTGCAGACGGAGACCCCGATCTCTTGATTTCTGGCGCCCCGGCCTTCTTCACGGGCTATCACCCCGGGTACGCGAACGAATCACTGAAGGACGCGCACCACTGGGCATGGATCGTGCTAAAGGCACACTCGCGCAACAATGCTGGCACCATCACGCTGCGCTCCTCTGACCCGCGCGACACACCCGTTATCAACTTCAACTACTTCGATACAGGCAACACGGCCGATGGGGCCGACGACAAAGACCTCCAGGCCACATACGAGGGCATGCAGCTGTCGCGCAAGATGTTCCGGGACTATATCCCTTTGCAGGGTACTTTCAAAGAAGTCTGGCCTGGTAACAGCGTCAAGACAGAGGCCCAGATGAAGGACTGGATCAAAAAGGAAGCCTGGGGCCATCACGCGAGCTGCACCTGCCCCATTGGCGCCGACGACGACGAAATGGCTGTTTTGGACTCCAAGTTCCGCGTCCGCGGCGTCGATGGGCTGAGAGTCGTCGACGCCAGTATCTTCCCCAAGATCCCGGGCTTCTACATCGTGCTGCCAACGTACATGATCAGCGAGAAAGCCGCGGACGTTGTTCTAGAGGATGCTGCTAATGCTTGAATATGAAACGAGATCGAGGGAGTTTTGGTTGGATAGCCTGCCCCTGCCATTGTCGGAACTTCTGGCCCAAAAGGATATGTCCACTGTATTGCTGAATATAATAGCCAAAGCGTTTCAAGAATAATTGGCACAATCTGTCACGGAATATGTACCAGAGGAGTGCTCAATAAAGTCAAAGTGGCGGCTACATCGAATATAATTGACAATATAGGATGAATGACAGGGTTCCTATTCTAAAGGTAAACAAACATACTCGTCGTGAATGAAGGGCATCTTCGATCTAACAGCGAATCACTCTACTCTTGTCAGACTATGCTACCTTCGCCGCTAACTTTTGAGTCCAGCTTGCCAGGAATTACTGAATCACGGCCGAAGATCAAGACATCCTCATTTTCTATGGGTCACCATCTTCGACAGCCACACTCTCTGACAAATTTTCATCAGGCACTCCAATTACCTTCAACGTCCACCGAATCGTAGCCATAAAACCTTTGACTTCCAGAATGTTTGGTGCCCAATCGATAGGTGAAGTCATCTGGGGAACAAATGCGTTGCCACTGAGATCTGCGGGGGTCAGACTGACTAGCTCAGGAAAGGAGAAACGAAAGTGTGTCGGAGAAGAACTAGACACTTCGAGCGCACTCCCGCCGGCTAGACAAAACAATCGCCGCACATTTTCTTCGCCTCATCACCAGCCTTCGCGATAGCTCTTATAAGCCCAGTAGCAGCCTATACAGAACTACCAGCAGCCGGCGAAAAAGCCGGCAACAAGACGCACAACGAGGCCCACAGTAACCGTAGCAACTCTCGCACCACTACCAACCAGGTCAGCTTGCAGATCCCGAAGCTATCGGACACGGAGAGGAAGCTAGACAACCTCTAGGAAGGTCTTCTCAAGGCAGATCTAGCGATACAAATTTCTTTTTCTTCTCAAGATTCGTGTTCGTTGTTTAAGTTGTGGGCGTTGAAAGCTGTACGCCGATACGTCCGTGCTGGAGCGCCATTATATGATATTCCGTGGCCACCGAGGGATATAAAATGCTACTTTTCTACCTTTTACGTACACCATCTCTAATATTTAGATTCTCAGAGATAAATTACGTAATAGGAGTCCTATTCAGACGTAACTAACACTATTCAACCCGCCAGGTTTGTAAAACTGTTCTCAATATTTGTGACGATACAGGCTGTTTTATAAAGTTCTATTCTCGTTGATCTATTAGCAGGCTACTTTCTAATCCTAACTAGCATAACTAACGACGAACGTTAATAATACTAGGAAAACTGGGGACGAGGGATGAATCTCTAGGGTTTTAACGCCTCCGGTGCTTAATTAGATACAGTGCAGCTTTCTGGATCTTCTGGGGCATGGAATTACGTCCTGATACGTTCAATTTTAATGCAAAATTGACAATGCGGATGCCATGTCCTGTGTCGTTTGGGGGCCATGGAGGCACAAACGTAACTATTAGTGCTCGTGCAGCAGTAGTGGCGAGAGCACATCAGTCCCTTGCTCTGGTGACTGTAGAGATGGCCTCACAGCTTCTATTCGTGGCTTTGACGTCTCTGCCACAATTCTGAAATCGATCGGTACTGTACGAGCCGAAACTCGACCAGCTGCCTGTCATACTTGATTCTACCAAGACTGTGTTTGCTATCCTATTGCTCAACCGACTTCATTTGCACGATGCTCTATGGCCCACGTTGTGTGGCTCTTCAATCAGTCCAGTCCGTCTCGGTGTTTCTCCAGTCCGCAGGCATGCGAACGAAATCCTTGTTCCAGATCCAGCCCATTCGCCGGTTCTCATCGTCTTGATTGATCGCCAGCCACATGTCTCCTTCCACCGCGATAATGTCGAAAGCCTCTCCCAACACGTACGTCAAATACCTCAGTCCAAGCGGACCTGGCTGGCTCTCTTCCGAAAGGTTGAATTCCCGCTCACTCATCGCACGAAACAGAATTCTGGGGAAGTCGGGATAGTCTGGGAAGGTGTAGGGCCCCGCATTTGCCGGAGCAGTAGCCACATTGTCGTTTGTTGGAGTCGTAGCCGCATTGTCGGTTCCTGGAGTCGTAGCCCCATCGTTGTTTCCAGGAGTTACAGACGTAGAATCGTTTGATGGAGTTGTAGCCGCTGTATCGTTTGCCAGAGTCATGTCGAAATCGTCGCTGTTTGGGACAGACATGACTGCTTCCACCATTAACTTCTTTGTCCAATTCATACTGAACAGGATGCTTACCCTTGCTGGAGTTGTACTGCTTAGACACTGACGGCCGAAATGCTTGAATAACAGGGGTCCGTAGTATGTTTCTTTCGCGAGAATGTTAATTTGGAAGATTTCCAGCCTTCAAGCAGACCGTTTTGGTTTGATTTTTGTCGTGAAATGTGAGGACAGACAGAAGATGGGTGTTGGACAAAGACCAGGAATTGTAGACATATTTGAGGTAGAACTTACAGGAGACTCGGCAAGAAACCGCATTCTGCGGGAAAATTCAGCGCGTGAATTGAGTACAGGGGATCCTATTGTCGATTGCAGGTCGACGACAATAGAAATGGCCAGCCCAGCATCAGCAGAAAAGACGGGGCGCGCTTGATGCTAATGCGGCGGTAAACGACGACAGATTCCGCTTTTCCCACATATTTTTGAGCTGTTAATTCATTTCTGCCGGTCTCCGTTCATTCAGAGACCGTTCTGACGTTTTGAATGGCCTGGAAAGTGATTCAAGTGTTGTTTGTTCTCAAATCGATCGAATACTCTGTATGCGCACAATATTGCCCGGAAGAGAACAAAACAGGATCCCATTGATTGGCGAGTGCAAGAGGCCTGTTTCACCATGGCGATGGCGATTTTCTTCTTCCCGATCGCTTCGGGATTGATGGCATGAAAGTAGAGCTCATATTCTTCGAGCAGGACCTAGAAGACCCTAACTCATCGACAAAATGCTGGGAACTGTCGACGACAGCGAGCTCACTCGGCTAAATCCTGTTGACGCCTCCTACCTCATCGGTCAGCCTTCCTGGCCTTGCACATGTTGAGAATGATTGCTGTGCCTTTTGCCCAACATCCGACTAGTCCCTGGCGGAAACACAATGACCCAAGGGCATGAGACATGACGGCGACCTGGGGCCGATGCCAAAGTACAGGGAAACCAGGACACATCCTCATAACCAAAGAGAACAAAGAAGCTGGCGTTCCAAGCACATCATTGAGGCCTTCAGTAAAGGGTTCTCTGAAAGACGGATCCCAGAGCTGCGAAACACGAGTGGTAAGTCCTTGATCCCAGATTCGAATATCAACTCAAACCCATGATGAACCCAACTTCACCTCTCTCAATATGCCCGAGTCTTCAGGGCATCGGCATAAATGCGAACAGATGCTTGTCCTTATCTGAAATGGCACGATCGTTCTTTGCTCCCTTGTCACACACCTGTTTCGGACTGATACTGATTCGAGAGTGTGCCAACTGACTCAAGCTATTCGGTCATGGTTGCCCACCGACCGACCAGAAGGACAAGGGCCGTCCTAGCTTCCTTTCAACCACCCACCGATGCTTGTGTCAATTACTGTGAACATCATCCAGGGCTGTGAAAACAGGTAAGCTCTGCTCCGTCCGACCTATGCCGGGCACTTTTCGGTGATGAATTCAGGTTTTGGTTCCTTGCGAGTCTCCTCCAAGCGGGAGACCATGAACTCAAAGATCGATTGATTTGCTCTGATGAAGAATATCGCTGCCATCATTTTCCATACCATGTTCCACAGCTCTAATTGATAGCAGACGACGGACCCTTTTTTATCCCTAGAAGCACCTAGGAAGGCGGACCAGCGGTAGATATGAGCCACGAATCGCTCGAGACAGTGGCAGTAATCAATACACCTTGAAGAGCAGTGTGAAGTGGATACTTCGACGTCTACTGGGCGTCAAAATGATTCTCAGCCAGCTGAAGATAGGATAACTGGTCGTGGGAAAGAGCATGGCACAAAGTTCTTGAAGAATGAAAGCTTAGATGGCACCAAGACGGCGCAGCTAGTGACTTGGACAATATCCGTGGCCTTTTGAATGGAGCAATTCCATCTCAGAGGCAGCATAAGTCGTTGATTTGCATTGAAGATACTCTACAAATCACCATAGTCCTTGGCCCTCCGTGTCCAAGCGTAATATTAATTGTTTCTTGCTGAGTCGTGCATGTTGTAGGCGGCTGGAGTTATGTACTGGATGCAAAGTCTTGAAAGGAAGCTCTAGCTGGCAGAGAATCAGGTGGGTGTGGAGCTGCGCCCGGAAACACTGCTCTATCCCCACCTAATATAATCCTGTCCACACCGTTGCTTTTGAAGATTTGTTAACACCAAACATAGCTGTGGTGGCGACTGTTGCACCGGCACGTCATTGTGTCTTGTAAGCCAATCCAAACAGAATCAAACGGCCAGCCTCGCAGGCGCTCCTCGTTCCTGCATTGACGATCCATGCATCCTGCACGACAGCCGGAGATAACTCTTCTTGGTGAACCCGCCACCCGAACCGCATCGCTCCAAAAGATGACACGAACAAGCGCTCTTGCTCGCATGATTGGAGAGACTGAACCATCAAAAAGGCGTCATTGGTCGATCGATCCAGAAAATGCCACCCGCTGACACATTGCTCTACGGGTTTAAACAGACTCTGCATATGTTTTACGCACAGGAACCAGTTTATGAGAGTTCAGTAATCACCATGAGGGGTGATTGTGTGTAACGCCATGGAATAGAATATATAGACCATGGCCGTCTTTGTGTTGTGATCTCAAATACCTGAGACACAGTCCAGCATCACTACCGACCCTTCCCTATAACTTCAGAGCCTCGAACATCTACGGCACACAGCATTCTTCCAGAGCGCAATGGCATTCGGGTTTGAGACAACAGGTGACGAAATCGTGGACATCTTCAAAGACCAGGTCAATGGCAAGACTTGTAAGTACAGAAGCTCAAATACAACAAATTTGTAGGTAGCCAGCTCACAGATTCTGGTCCTGATCACTGGTCCCACTCCAGGAGGAATAGGAGCCGAATCCGCTCTCTGTCTCGCACGGGCAACCCCCAAACACTTGATTCTCGCGGGCCGCTCTCGACAGAAGATCCATCCTCTCATCGACCAAGTCCAGGACATTGACCCGCGCGTGAAAACTAGTTTCATCCAGCTCGACCTCGGGAGCCAAAAGTCAGTGCGGCAGGCAGTCGAGGCCGTCAAGGCTCTCCTTGCCGGCGAGGACGAGGTCGACTGTGTGATCCTCAACGCTGCGATAATGGCGTGTCCTTACGGCTTGACGGAAGATGGCATCGAGACACAATTCGGGACAAACCATCTAGGCCACTTCCTCTTCAGCAACCTCCTCCTGAAGGATGACCTGATCCGTTCGCGGGTCATCATCGTCAGCAGCTCCGCGTCCGAACGCATGGCAGAGTACGCTTTCCAGCCTTTGACCGACATCACCTACAGCAATGGCAGCACGTACGATCCCATGCTCGCGTACACCTTCTCCAAGGCTTGCAGCGTCCTCTACGGCAAGCGTCTTGCGAGACTTCTCAAACAGAAGCACCACAAGAACATTGCCGTCTTCAGCCTGAACCCAGGCAGCATCAGGACGAACCTGCAGGGCTACATGAGCGACGATGTGCGAAGCAGAGCCATCGAGGCCGCGCGCCGGTACAACCCAGAGTTCGAAATCCCTCGGCTCAAGAGCCTACAGCAAGGCTGCGCAACTCAGCTCCGTGCGGCTTTGGATCCGGCTCTTGCGGACCACTCAGGCGCCTACCTCGACGACTGCCAGGTAGCGAGGGTGGGTGTCCACGAGGGTCACGAGAAATACATGGACGAGGTCTGGGAGCTTAGCGAGCGGCTTGTGGGGGAGGAATTTGAGCTGTCGACTTCCGCGTGGAAGGAAGGCAGGCGGGATTCTGCAAAAGCATCCTCTTTGATCCTCCCTCCTGATATTACAAGATTGCCCGTCTCCCCTTTATTACGCACCGGGGGAACCCAAAAAGGCGACGGCAAGCCGAGTTGAAAACAAGGTGGCGCATTCTGACTGACCCAAAATACACGCCGCATCCAATGTAGCCAAAGAGGCTGCTCAATAGCGACGAAGGAAGTGGTCGCTATATCGAAAGGCGAACAGGCGGAGATGACGGATAGAGTACATACTGACGGCTGCTACTCAAAGGCAAAAATGGAATGCTCATTAACGACGAAGGCCGCCCCTGTTCTAACAGTTGAAGGACTTCGAGAGTGCCGCATATATAAAATGATCCCTGGAAATTTGAGCTACTCATATACTAACCTGGAAGCAAAGTGCGAGGGTGTGCGTATCTCAAGCTTGTCATAGCTCGATGCTGAGACCAGACGGCGGTCTGGACACGTTGAATTTGTTACCTCCATTGGAGTTCTGCTCGTTCTGATTCATTTTTTTTCGGTCATTGTCCGGTTTGGCCACGCGAGTGGTCTCTGCACTGAAACTAATACTCTCTGAACGTCCCCATCACTTGAAATACTCGTCACTCCTTGATCATTCCCTGGAGAATCCATCTATCCCAGAGATAGCCCCCATTCCGGTCTGCTTATTTCTACTCCGTAGAGAAATGCAGAAAGGGACCTCCCGATAGAAGCTCCGGCCTCAAACATGAACACGATAGCTACTTCCTCAACGCCACTGCTGGAATTCAAGAAGAAATTTTGACAATATACCCGAAATTCGGGCGCGAAGACTCTGAATACGGGTTCAGAGCGGGCAGCCTCTTGGTCGAATTGAGTTGGCATCTGATGCAGGTGCCGACATTCGCCCAAGGATTTTCGAGGTTAGGTGTAAACTGGAGTTGGATTTTGTGGATGTGTTCGGTGCAGCTCGTTAATAGATCCTATTCAGCCGTGCACATTTAAGTGACCATTGGCCGGCGTCAAATTCGTCTCCTGCGTCTCAGGGGAGTAAAGATCGGCCGGGCTAATACAAGGGTGCATTTTCTGCGCCCAAGGAGTGAAGCACAGTGGGAAATTGCAATGGGGTCCCATATCAATTGACCGACTGATACAGCAGCAAAGGCTCGCCGACGTTCTCGATCTCGGGGATGGTGCATTTCAGATCGAAGGCTTTGGACAGCACTATCTTGAAGATCTTCTGGACATTGATGCTGTGGCTCGTGCTGCTGAAGATCAAACTTGCACGCATGGCTTTCGCGAATCTTCGGGCCTGTCAAATACACTGTGATTAGCGTTCTTCCTGCCATATTCACCCCGTTCATGTTGGTGAATGAGTTTCATCGTACCTGATTGCTGATCTCCTCTTGATCCTCCCTGGGGAAATTAACGAAATGGTCGTACTTTGTCCCGATCAAGAAGGGGATGGCAGTCTTATTAAACCCTCGGCCCTGTCTGTACCACTCTTTTATGCTGTTGAGCGTTGATTTCCGTGTCAAGTCGAACATGAAGAGGATGGCGACGGCGTCGTTGCAGACAAGGGGGAGCATGTTGACAAACTCTCGCTGGCCACCGAGATCCCAGATGGAGAAAGTAATTTCGGTATTGCGTATTGAGATGGTCTTTTCCATGAAATTGACACCTAAAGAACCATGCATTAGAGGCCCGGCGGCCGGATCAGCAAGTCAGAGGGGAAGATAACGCACCCAATGTCTGTATGTAGTCTTCATCCCAACTGCCCTCAACGTATTTGACCATCAGACTTGTCTTTCCTATTTGAGCATCCCCAACCATGCCCACTTTGATGACAACGCTGGATTTGCCGGAAGGTTGTGACTGTCTGTTCTCCTGATATTGCGTTTGTTGATGTCCGCCCATTCCGGAACCAGGTCTTGAAGTCGGCTGTTGGTACAGGTTGGGAGAGTTGTATCTCTGATTGGAGTCATTATCCATCGGCGGAGTTGCGGTAACAGTGGAAGGCTGAGATTGATGGCCGCCCTGGATTGCGGTGGTGTCTTCTTGTGGCTGATCTTGGTCATTAACGATGTGAGGGCTGTATGCCGATTCGGCGGGGTACTCATTGGAAGCCGTGGGATCCATGGCAGCAGAGAGACAACGAGTGAAGGATGGAGTAGAGGGAAGGATGAAAGTCAGCTTGAAAAGCCTGGGGATGAAGCCTTGAGGGGACTCATGCGGCGCGGACGTGGATGAGCGTCTGTCTGAGGCTGCGGCTGCGGTTGAAGGATGCGAAGTTTTGGTGTGTAGCCTTTCAGCCCTTGCATGGCGAATCAACACTCGAGGCACGCTCTGCACGCTCATCCACGGAAGACGCGTCTAGGAAAAGTCACGTTACCCATAAATCAATTCAGGAATCACCTGGAGTCCATCTCAGTCATATTAGGAATACGAATGGTTAGCGAGCTGGCTTCGATACAATACATTTGCAGCAAAAGCGGCCTGCCGCTCTCTCGATGCCTGCACTTCGGCCCCCAGGAACAACGCACACGCGGCGATAATGGCCGTCGAGACTACCCCAAAGACAATTTGTGTCTTCATCCCTGTCTGGACCAGGGCCCGTCGTCTCGCGTATTTTGTGACTGTGCGCATGTAGATGCCCAATCCGCTCACCAGACACGCAAGCGAAAGGACCCAAAAGATGATTCCGAGCGGGTGGGAGAGCCGCTCTTCCAGGGAAGTGGGTTGGCTCTTCAGATGGAAGTTGATGAAGATGGCGACAGCCACAACAGCCATGTAGATGGACAGACGGAGCCACGATAAAAATGTCCTTTCGTTGGCACAATGATCCCGAGCGTCTGACGAGGTATTGGAAAACAGAAGAGGCGCATAGAGAGGTCGGAGAAGAAACATCTTGACGGGGTTGACTGGATGGTTTCTGTGGAGTTTCTCCGTCAGCCCTCTCACCCTGCCCACCATATTTGCAAAGAACTCACTCGTCTACATTGATGGTGGCACTGAAGGGATTGTAGAGAATGTGCCAGCCATCCTCGACCAGATGAGCTGGAGGGAGGTCTGGGCTCACGGGAGGTGGCATGTTGATTGCGGGAGGATGTGCAAACACAGTGTTCAAGTTGGGAACGCGGACTTCTGGATGGGCATTCTGATTTGACCGATGCCGTTTGGATTCTGAATACAAGATGAAGATGATTGTGGTTGGATTTGCGGGCAAAATGGTTCACGAGGCTCTAAAATGACGCAACCCACCGAGGTTCGAGGCTCTAGGCTACAAGGGCTCCAAGGCCGTCTCTAGCCAAGGGAGGCACCCACTGGGGTAGCGTGCTCGCTAGGATTAGGTGCCTACTGTACCTACCAACCAATATTTAGGTAGAGATATCGAGGTACCTACTTGTTGTATACCTACAGGCATATACACCGTTACCTCGTCAAATTTTTTTTTCTTTAACAGTTTCTCCCTTTTCGCCATCGGTCTGCCCCAGTCATTAGCTGCTCTCGTGCTCGACCTGGTAGCCGGAGCCGGGCGAGGATATGCATACCTGTATCATCGTCCATTGCACCCTTGTCCCCTCGCCCCCCGTCCCCCTGGCCCCTCCACACGATAGGCACTGGGGGCACCAATGACGCCTGAGAAAACAGACAAAGCAGTCCCTAGGCTCCTGGAAGCAGTTAAGCGCAGGCGAGAGCTGGTGCCCGATTCGGTCATTGTAGCCGATCATTACAAGGAGCTACTTGCCAGGTCTTGGAGCTTTATCAGTAGAAAATCCATCCGTCGCAGCAATCCCAACCGTATCTTCCTCAACTTTGTTCTAAAGTGGAAATGTGCTTGATTCGCAGCGCCGTCCTCCTTCCGCAGCTCGTTGTTCGATATATACTCATCTGAAGGTCCTCTTCCTCCCGAGCATGCCACCTACTCTGTCTCATGAGATAGCGGAGTAACCCGTACTCGTCTGAGTCACTGCCAAAAACTATTTCTCTCTCGTCCAGAGGCCGGCCCAACATGGCGACGTCTCCCAAATTCCCCAGCACTCTTGAACGAGTCACCAGTGTCACGAACCGAGTCTTCTCTCATTCCCTCCCAGATCCTTCACCCATCGCTCAGGCCTCACTTGCCCGAGACATAGAGGAGGACACGGACGAAGAAGCCGCAGATTCAGAGTCCGACTCAGAAAGCTCCACGCTGCGTCCATCCACATCTGCCCCTGGAGGAGGAGGATACTCGTTTGTCGGATCATACCGCCGACCAAGCTTTGCTGGGGCGGGAAACAGAGCCACTCTCCTTCCCCGTCTTACGCCAGACCATGAACGCCTCTCCAAGGAAGAGAGACAACAGGCAATGGAGGAGGAGCGGTCTCTTTTGAGAGACAACAATCTCATCCCACCCAAACACCCTCAGGTGCCCGGCCAGATTAGTCGCAAAAGAAGCATTTTCCACATACCTGGCGGCGACCGGAAAGTCTCTCAGGATGAAGAAACAGCCCCAGCTGTAGAGGTTAACGTGGGCCTTGCGACCGAAGTTTCACCTTTGCTAGGTAGCCCGAGCCTCCCCTATGGCGGACAAGATGACGCTCAGACCATCAATCAGAAGTGGGAGGAAGCAGTGGCAGCAGGCATGATCCATACAACTTGGCAACGTGAAGCAAAGGTTATTGCTCGCTACTCTGCTCCCTTGATGGTGACTTTTATCCTCCAATACTCCCTTACCGTCGCAAGTATTTTCACAGTCGGACATATCGGCACAGTTGAACTGGGAGCAGTGAGCCTGGCATCCATGTCCGCCAACATCACCGGCTACGCCATTTATCAAGGCCTAGCCACGTCTCTCGACACTCTCTGCGCACAAGCCTACGGATCCGGCCGCAAGAAACTTGTCGGCTTGCAAATGCAGCGCATGATCTACTTCTTATGGACAATCACCATACCAATTGCCATAATATGGGTCCTCGCAGACAAGATTCTCATCGCTCTGGTCCCCGAACCAGAGGTCGCCAAGCTCGCGGGCCTGTATCTGAAGGTCGTCCTCCTTGGTGCTCCTGGCTACGCAGCCTTCGAGTCCGGAAAACGCTTTGTCCAGGCACAGGGGCTCTTCTCAGCTTCCCTCTATGTGCTCATCTTCTGTGCGCCTCTCAACGCGTTCATGAATTGGCTGTTCGTGTGGAAGTTGAATTGGGGATTCGTGGGCGCCCCGGTCGCCGTTGCCATCACGGATAATCTACTCCCGCTAGGTCTCTTTATCTACGTTCGTTTCTTCTCCAAGACCGGAATGTCATGCTGGAACGGGTTCACCAAAAAGGCGTTCCAAAACTGGGCCCCGATGATCAAACTTGCCTTACCAGGCGTGGTGATGATCGAAGCCGAAGTTCTCGCGTTTGAAATTTTGACCTTTGCAGCCTCATATTTCGGCACGACTGTCCTCGCCGCACAGTCCGTTCTCGCAACTCTCACATCTCTTACCTTCCAGATCCCCTTCCCCCTTTCCATCGCAGGCTCAACGCGTGTCGCAAACCTGATCGGTGCCACGTTGGCAGACGCCGCCAAAGTGTCCACCCGGGTCACCTTTTCGGCGGCGATCGTCGTCGGCATCCTTAACGTCACCCTCCTCTCCGCCCTGAAAGACTACATCCCGCGCCTCTTCACCTCCGACCCCGACGTGGTCCGCATCGTAAGCGACATCCTCCCGCTGTGCGCAGCCTTCCAACTCTTCGATGCTCTCGCCGCAGCCTGCAATGGCATCCTCCGCGGTCTGGGTCGGCAAGAATTCGGCGGGTACGTGCAGCTGTTCTGCTACTATGCCTTTGCGATGCCCATCAGCTTCGGCACGGCGTTTGGTGCCGGCTGGGGCCTTTGGGGACTGTGGACCGGCGTGGCCCTCGCGCTGGGCCTGGTCGCCCTGATCGAGTTCGTATATCTGGCAAGGACGGACTGGGAAAGGAGCGTCGAGGAAGCACGGGCCCGGAATCTAGAAGGCGGTCTGTAATTGGTGAGTTACAGAGATATAAAAGTGAATTTTGATACATACGCACATGGATGCATAGCTGGTACGGAGTACATATTTACACCCCCAGGTGACATGATCTTGCTGTATAGCTTGCTGCGTAGGTAGGTACACACAGTAGATGCTGTAAGAATGCCATCGTGTGAAAATGCAGAGACCGGCCAATGGACTGGAGGATAATGTTCCAATCAAATCCACGTCAGTGAAAAGAAAAGGACCTCATTCTGACTGTTGTGGGAATCGATGACTGTTCGTTCTCCATGGTCGCGATGCCTGAATCTGTATCTGTACACTTATCTATGCGTGCGCCATGCCCCTTCTTGCCCTCCGGATCGCGAACGCCTCGAACGCCCGTTCCCTTGAGCCAATGAGGCCTGACAGTGGGACGGATTGATGCTCTGTTTTGCATTGCATTGCGGACTCCGTCTAGCCCCTCGAGCGAAGCAAGCTCAGGTCCATTTATGCCGGGCGTTAAGTCCGCCATACGTATCACTTTTTACATCCTCCGAATCTGCGTCTCGTTCGCCACGTCGCCCAACTTGCCCTGCACGAGCTTCTCCCACCATTGAAACAGCATCCCTTCACAAATCAGCCGGAACCAGGGTGTGTATTTCAGTGCCTTGTCCTTGCCGCTCTGCGTCTCCACGTCCTTGAACATCTGCCTCAACTCTTCCGGACTCACCCACCTCGTGTCTTGCACTTCGTTCTGGTTGATGTCTAGCGTGACGTCCGCTTCGATGAAGAGGATGTAGTCGATTTCGTGTTCGCCCCATTTCCCGTCCGACGGAGCGAGGTAGTGAATGCGCGTGAGGAAGGAGAAATCCGAGATGGGGACCTGTGACGATTGGATGCCGAGTTCGTGGTTGAGTTTTCTTTGCGCAGCGCGTTTGGCCCCCTCGATATTACTTGTCAGCTCACCGTACCCGGTCTCCGAAGGGTGCGCCAGCGGGTGTGAGCAGCATGTGTTCGTCCACATGTCGGGAAATGTAATCTTTTCACTGGCTCTTTGCTGCAGCAACAGCTTCTTCGTCCTTGGGTCAAAGAGAAACACGGAGAAGGCGCGGTGTAGAAGACCCTGGTTGATGTTGGACATCAGGTGGCAAGCCTTCTTCGAGGCGGAGCCAATGGGCATGTCGTCATTGTCGAGAACAATGCAGACTTCATCCATGAGGCGGATTTGTTCTTCGTCGTAACCGGCGAGCATGTCGTCCGAGTTGGTATCTGAGGTCCCGTTGGGTATGGCGTTGGGTGCCATGTCGGCGCCGATCAGCCTCGTATGCACTTCGGGGAAGAGGGTCGTGACATTTTCGCGAGTAATTGCTACGGAGGCCATGTTAAAGGTCCGCTTGAGAATGGAGCGTGAATTCGAGGGTAATATAGACAGCTCGAGAGAGACTCCGAAATAACAAGCGTGGGAGAAACAGCGGGGTGGAAAGATGGGGCTTTCGTTGATCGAAGCTGTGAATGCTGCCTCTATTATTGAAGGCGGTGAAATGCGAGATGTGAGATGCGAGGGGTGAGTCGAAAATATTGCCGCAGAAAAAAGGTCGGGTCACGTGCCAGGGGTAATTTTGGCAGTGCGGCACAAGATGGACCGAAGTGGGCTGACCAGGCTGGCCAGGCTGACCACTGATCAGAGCCTCGTCTCAAGACCGCCTCCCAACCTGCTCGTCCATTGACAGACACACTCGGATGCATTCCCATCCCTCTTCTACCGCTACATTCCCCCATTCTCCCTCAATACGTCTACTGAACTAGTAAGGTATGGCTCCTGCAATCGATTCCAGATTGTTGCTTCGGCGACGATTCTTATTCAGGAAGGGCGAGAGACCGTCAGGATTGGCGTCCCTGTAACGGGATCAACAGTGATCAAGAGGAGGGCCAACAACAGTATCACCCCATATCGAACAGGGAGATCTCCAAGATCCGTGAGCATCTGTTCTCTAAGATTTTCATTCTCAGTGAATGAGCCAGATAAATGCGTGCTGAATCTTGAACTGTAGAATTCCAGCCGCCATTGATAATCCTCTTTTTGGTCAAGATATCTGGACATTCGGGCGATAGGCGATTCAGTGCGAGGCGCTGAATTTGTTGCAAGCTGCCATCCATTGGCCAAATTCATCTGTTGATAGCTTTTCATTTGGGTCAGTCAATTGTGCCAGATGTGAGAGTATTCTGGCTTCGTTCACTCGACTCACATTCATTTTCGGCTAGTGGGCTTGAAACCAATAAGAATCGAGTACCAAGGAGGCGCCTATATCCGCATCGATTCATGAATTGGCATACCAGCGGTTTCCGCGTGCGAGCGAAGGTTCAGATCTGCCTCCCCTCCCAAGTGGGCGAATCTGTCGCGGAATCATAACCCCAGGGAAGGAGTGAGCTGTCCTGTAGGTGAGCGACAGTAGCAACCTTGTGGTTTGAGGTTCCGGTCGTAGGCCGGTGTTCATGAACATAAGGCAAAGCCCTCGGGTGAGCAAATGGTTCAAACCTTGCGATAACTCCGTCTACTTGTTAGTCCACAACCCTCAAGCGGAGTCTCTCGCTGCTGCCCTTGAATGCAGAGCTTAAACGCACATAAGTCGATTCCGCCGCCTCGGCCATCTCAGTAGAATGACTGAATGTGCCTGCTTTTGCCGATAGGTCATTGTCAAACTCGAGGCCGTAAGTATTTCGAGCGCAGAGTTCTTCCACAGACGGGAATCGTGCTGCCAGGTCGTGACCAGGGCGATGCCCAGGAATAAGCCACCCGTAGCAGCTAGCGCGAGAGGTGGAATCAACCAGAACCATCGCACCTGCACGAAGACCTGAGGCTCCAGCGCATCACCGAAAGCCTTCGTGTCAGTCGTATCCAGAATGGCTTTCGGGAGCGACGCTACTATGTTCAGGAGGATATTTGGTAGTCCGCCGTGCTACAAAGTATGCTCCATGTATGGATTGCTGAAGGAAACTATCTCGATACTGAATTTTCCGTCGGGTCTAAGGGGGAAAAAGTAGGTCATATTCGTGTGCTAAGCGGAGGACTTGGCCAGGAGACGCCAGCAATCAGTCCAAAGCCTACTTATATTGAGCAAAGTCAGGGGAGTGACGCGGGACTCGGGACCGGGGGGGTTGAAAAGGAGAGAAAGAAAGGCGGATGCGGCTCTGTCTGTGAAGGCCAGAGGAAGCATTGGGGTGTTCGACCCTTTGGTACCGGGCATTTGACGCAGGGTAGATCCAGGGGAAAGGGGGGAGGTGTGCACTAGGGGGCTCACTAGGACTGGCCGGGGTTCGTATGCGTGAACCTACTTGTAGGTCGTCCCTGGCAAACTAGACGTGCGGCGGCGGCAGGCCATCAAACCCATCCATACCAATGACACCGATTGCCATGAACCAGGGAAGTAGATGCCGTCAATGAGTCGGCCTAGAAATGCTGCATAACAATATAACCATTGTGCGATTGGCCGACTAATCCGGGGGGAAATGACGTTCGACAGAATTGGGCTTTAAACAATGGCAACGCTGAGAGCGTCCGAGGGCGACCAGCTTCATGTCATCCAAGTTGTTGCCACTAGACAGACTTCCAACTTCCTCCAACGTTCACAGCGCAGTGGGCGGCATGCTCAAGGTCTAGAAACGGAAATAGACTTTGGAGAGGTCCAGATGCGGTGCCATTATTGCGGTATTTCACCGCCTGCACTCTCTGTTCAGTGAACACATATCAAGGGCTCATTCCAGGGTAACCCAGATCAAATCTTCTTCTTTCGCCGTTCGCCATGCTTTCCCATCCATCACGCGGTATAATATGCCACAGACTTTAGCGGAGTCGACAACTGCAGCGGAACATATCCGATTGCTGGTAGCCGAAACTTCAAGGATAATAGGTACAGACATGCCCGATAACAACCATACTTCCAGCTTTTTATCTGTGTGCAATGTAAGCCCAACTGCGAGGGCGGGATGGTTTGAACCAAATAGAAAGCTATATGAGAACTTCTGGGTTATGTTGTATGCCGACTCAAGGGAGTCCCGTATGTCAGCCTCGGAAGGATCCAATTGACATGTAGATTCCTTTTCCTGAGTGGCACACCTCAGTATATTCGGGATTGGGGACATGAGATGCGTGCATATGCAGATAGGGTCGTCGTGTCCCTGATGTTTCAGTTCGGAGATATGTTGGTTATGATACTCGATGATTTGTATGTCCTTCAATAATTGAATAGCAACCTGTCGCAACAGGCCATGCTTGCTGTACAGGGAACTTTAATTCAACAACTGGCGGCATGGTGACTCCAATGCCTCGAGCTCTCAGTCACAAGAACTTTCAGACAATGGTTCATCACATTGCTCAGGATTGTCTTCCGGGGACCATTCTGTGGATTTAAGAGTTGTATACCGGTCCCATGTGACGGCCCCTATCGGCAGCCCTAGTACTTTGAGGGCTGCGCCTTCCAGCATGACATTGAGCTCGTTCCCATGACTAGAATTAGGAGTTTGCCAGAACGTTCCTGGAATTCCGCAGCGTAATCTCTGTTGTTCCCCACTGACATAGTCGACAATAGGCGGCAAATTATAGTGGATCCGTAAATCCCTAAAGTCGAGCAAAGGACACACCCACGAGCTCCATAAACCCCATGAACTCTCAGGGTGCTCCCATGAAACCATACATTGGTGATGTTGGGGTTCGAGCGTGCACAACAAGATTATGTCCAGGGAGCCAGTTGTTTCAATGAATCGTTGCGTCATGAGCGTACACAGCTGTTCTGGTTGTAGATTGAAGTCCGGCTCAAATGCTATTAAGCCGCTTATAGCATAAGCTCTGTCCAGCAACTCGGTAAGTCTCATTCATCCGCAATTGGCACATTACCCCAACAAATAGATCGGCTGACGGATTCGGCGAGAGGCGCGAATAGCCCAAAGATGAACCAGATGCTCGAATTGATTATAGGACGGGCAAATCCAGCTAACATAGGCTATAGGTTCAATTTTGGCCCAAACGTATTGCGAGAACAGCGATTCAAAGACGAGGCCATCTAGAGTTTTGGGACCACAACTGTGATTTTGGCTGCCATGGTGATTTCTTGCGCAATCCAGAGCCTTTTCCAGTATGAGCGCGACAGAAAATCCTTGAAAACTCCAACAGGCTCAAGAAATACACAGGGCATCGACCCAAAGGTTCTGGACCCCGCAGTTCAGGAGCACGCACAGCGCTTGATGGAGGTTCTTGGTGATGGAGTGAGGGCATCCGCCGAGCAGGATTTTCTTCCTGCGTGGCTGGTCCCCCCAAGTGTAGGATAACGCGTTATATGGAGGGTGTCCATTAATGGGTACGTTGTGGAATGTAACGCTCACCACCTCTCCTTCTTGTTCGCGAATAATTTCACGCAACTTGAGGATTCGAAACTCGTTCTTTCGAAGGTTAAGTGGTTCCCATTGATAGATAGGATTGGTTTCTGGATCCATACTTTCCATTGTTGATCCTCACTGACTATGCTGTCTGTGTTCCGGCCACAGATATGAGGTCCTTTGATCTAAGTGTCAATTAATGGATGTGATAAAATGCGCATCTACGTACCTGGGTGCGAGGCTGAAGAGGCTCTTGAGAGCTGCAATTGCAAGCTGTAGAGAGCAATCTGGCGAGCCGGTCCGACAAGACCACATTGAAGCTAACCTAATTAGGAATGACGAGCTTCGTGTGAATGGTATCTCATATACTGGGAGCAGCTGATGGCCTGCAGATGCCTATATGTCGAGGATTATTAACCCGTAGTGACGGGAGTGTTATTATTCTGCGCCACTAGGCATCAGAAGCAGTCATTAATGTATGGGCTCCATGCTCCACAGGGACACTGGCAAATGCCGAATGCTCTAGCATCATATGCAGTCATGGCATTGAGGGAAATCTCGTGATCGTCATCAATTCAGGGTATGGCCAGGAAGGAATACCTCGTACAGACCGAAGAGATTGCAGAATGACTTCAGGAGGGCTCCACGCCCTGGCTAAAACTCCCACTCAATCAGCATTCCATCTGGCCCTCTCATCTCCCCTGGCGCTTCGCTCCCGCCCTCTCCATCATAATCTGCGTCCATATCTTTCTTCTTCTTACTGTCCTTCTCCTTCCTCGGCACAATCTTTGGCGGTGGCTTATCTCTGTCCACCTTCCTCAGAAGACTTGGGATGTTTTGCCTTCGGGACAGACCAACTCGGTAGATCACTTTCCTTCCAGAATTGCTAAGACTCGGCGGGTTGATGGGCGAGTGTTTGGCGGGACCTTTTTCTGTAGATGATGGCAATGCAGATGGTTTAGGCTTTGCTGGTGTAGTTATTGGCTCGTTTCCATTATCCTTGCCAGATAAGGGTTCTGGCTGCGCTTGCTTTTCAGCTTCTGGCTCGGGTGATGTAATGGGTGAAACAGTAGGAGCCCTTATGAACCCTTTCTGGATCAAGTCATTGCTGGTGCTAGCCGGTATGTTCCTGGACTTCTCGTCTAGTGGCGGGCGAGATATTGCATTTGATTCTGGTTCGTCTTCATTTTCTTCGGTAGTCTTTTGCTCCTCTTGCTTATGTTCCACTTTCTTTGGCTTTCTACCTCGCTTCTTAGGCTCCACTACGGGGTCCTTAACCTGTGTATGGATGGGGATCTCGATGGTGATATTGGTGCTTTTAGCACTTTGTGCCTGTTCACTTTCTTCTTTGCGCTTGTGTTCGTCCTTGATCCTCGGAACGTCGGGCTCTATCTTCAACGCGTTAAAATCGGGAGGCAGGTCCAATTTCACAGGCGCAGGCTTCGAGTCCATCCAGACAACGTCTTCTTCACCTTCGCTTAGCATTGGATCTGCTTTTCTGAACAAGGCCGCCGCAGATGTCTTCGCGCGTTTGACTTTACTCTTTCGGCCTTTCTTTGTGCTAGGCTTTGTTGAAGTTATGTTCGGGGTTTCTTGTTCTGAGACGTCGTTACCATTGCTCTTTGCCAGGGTGCGACAGTCATCGTTGGCTTCCAGTGGAGGCAGAAGAGTTTTACCCTCGTCGAAGTACTTCTTTGATCGTGTGCGGCTTGGTCGGGGCCTATATGCTTCTTTCGGGAGCCCAATACCGGCTTCGTCACTGAGATTAAGCTCGCTGGTGGGGTGTTTGACTGGGGAAAAATCACCAGCCCCTTGTTCATGCTCGCCTTCCACGATGATTTTTGAGTGAGACAGGCTGGGGCGTGGCTTGTAAGCTTCTTTTGGCAGCTCAATCACCAATTCGTCACTTAGACTCAACTCGCTTGTCGGATGCTTCATGGGGGAGAACTTGGCAGGATTCCCTTCAGGTCCTTCCTCATCGGTCTGTTTCGATTTCCTTCTCCTCCACTTCCTGCGTGGTGTATTTGTCGCTGACGTCTGAGATGCTTGAGACAACGACTCCATTGTCCCTCGTCGAGCCCTGCTAGGATTAGGCAGAGTCGTGGAAACCTGGCCCTCGGGATCTTCATTAAGACTAGGAGCAGGAGATTTGGAAGGCGGCCTAGAGTTCTTTACTTTGCGTCCACGCTTCCTGGACACCGATGATTTTTCCATAGACGGCAAAGCATCCTCCACCGCGGTGGGGGGATCACCTATGTCATTCTCGGTTTCAGGTGCGTAGATGTGACTGTCATCATTAGCATTGGATGCCACTCCACCCTTTTGCATAATTGGAGGAGGGTAAATAGCCAGAGGCCTTGCTGAGGAAGATTGTAATAGGCCTTGCAATGATTGGTCTTGCCACGGCCCGTCAACAGAAACTATATGGTGATTTCCATCAATCTGAGTTGATTTTGCTTCATCGATCTCGATCATATCCGTGAGATATTCGGGCTTAGCTTGGATACTGTCGTCCTCTAAGGACACCTGGCTTAACGATCCGAAAAGGTTAGCGTTGATGCTCAGGCCCTGACCAGAACCCCGGAAGTCTATATTGATTGATTGGTGATATCCTATAGAAGCTATTGATGTGGTCATACGATGGGTGGAATCGGCAAAGGATTGTTCGCGGAGTGGAAGCGCTTCAGTTCGATTGCTGGTGCTGGTCAAGATCGGTATGTTCGGATCAGCGGATACAGGGTGTGTGGTCGAAGTCGCCTGATCTCCTGCATCTCCATCATGACCTGTTGATTCTAGATTTCTGGGCATCAGAGAGCCTTCAGAAGGCGGCGCGAATAAATTGTCGCCTTGAGCAGTGCGAGACCTGGACGCTGCACTGTATGTTTTTGACCTCTTCACCTTCGGCTTCCGACCGGATTTCTCATGCCGTAGGTCCCCAAGGCCGTCTTGTAAAGCACTATGAGCTCTCTTCTTAGACATTGTTCCGTGTAGGGTTTCTCCAAAGAGGGCGGTGGACTGTTGGTCGGCTGTCTTAGTTGCGGTAATATCAGCAGCGCCATCTAGTTGATTGAAGTCCATGACATGATGTGAGGCAGAGGATGAAAGCCTCTGACTTGCATCAAGATATTCATCGAAATCGATTGGAGAAGGTGAGGCCAGACTCTGGAGTGGATCTTCGTTTCGGTTTTCGTGAGCAGCACGTCGCTTTATAGGCGAGTTCAAATCGGACTCGCCGTCCGAATCTGCTATCTCGGGAGGCATCACCGCAGTGCCGTCCTCAAAGTCTCCATGGAATTTTTGTAGGCGACAGCCAGTGGTTCGAGGATCACGTTTGTTGTCAATTCTCCCGAAGTGTGTTTCAATTGAACGCGTCTCGACACGCGTGTGCACGTGACAATGCTTCTTAATGCCTGTGGCAAGGCGGACCACCTCGCTGTAAATCGTTTCTCTGCCTTTTTCATTACTGAGCCAGATTCCCAACTTTGATACGCATTACTAAGGGTGCATCGCGTCAGGATTTCACCTGCTTATTGGCAGACACAACTTGACGTTCGTTTGGACCCAGGAGGAGATAAGGTACGAAAGGGTTGATTGGCTTTCCTCTAGGCTCGGAATCTCAGCCTTGCAGCCAAGTCTCCTATTGTGCGTGATGACGGGCGAAGAGGACCGTACACTCCGCCTTGCAGGAAAGAATGGAGAAAACGGCAATTCAAGGACATATAACTTACGGACGACCGGACTCGCTTTGATCTTAAGGTCATCCTGATCGATGTGACCGTCCAACATGGTCAGTACGCGGAACAACAAGGCGGAGCTCTGTTCATCCCGGGAATAATAGGACCATTCTAATCACCGTGGAACCTCCCAACGGTCTAGGCGGAAGCACAGCGGAAGCACTGGTAGCTCATAGCCCAGCTTTACTGAGCCTGACTGGTCGGAGCAAGACCAACGTTGAAACTGTCAAGTTGGCGGCAACCCAACCCGACCTGATATACCGATACCTTTCCACCGACCTTTCCGTAGATCTTTCAAACCTGGCGTCCGTTTGCCTCACATTGACATCTGGGTTTGTAATGCTAGAGTCCTGTGGATCCCCGAACACCGACTACAAGCCGACAAAATCGAGATACAATTGCGACCAGTCACATTAGCAATTTCCTGTTCGTTAATGTCATTCTGGAGAAGCTCACGGCAGGCGCGGAAAACTCTCCTGCTGGAGCAGTAAGAATCATCAATGTTTGTACCGCGTGGTGCAATGGTCTCGCCTGTTAGAATTTCTCCAAGGAGGAGGACCTCCCGGAAAGTGAGGGGGCAAATTCAAGGCCATGGAGATGTTCGGTAAGGAAGCGCCTGTCTCTATCGTCCATACGTTGCCCAGGGCCATTCGATGTCAGCAAATGCACTGTTCTCGTTTGGGCTTACCGCTCGTCTATTTGAGAAGTTTGACATAGCGTCTTATGCTTTACACGACGGGGTAGCCAGACAGATCTTCGGAGGCATACAGAGGACGGCTTTGCACAGAAGCCTTTTGCTGGCCAGCAAGTCGCTGGAGGGGTTCGAAGCACTTGAGCAAAGTGCCCCCCCACCCCTCTTGTTGCAGCTTTGGAGCCTGGTGTTCCTCCGCTCACCACTACTGATGACAATCTGTTCCTGAACGACTGGTTAATTGACTCCAGCGATCACCTGGCGAGAAACCCCAAGAATTCGGAGAAATTGTGGGCGCTGAGCGAGGTCCTACTGAACCAAAGAGTTTTGTGTAACAATTTCGTCTCGTATGTCGGGAGATGCAAGTGCAGGGCTACCGTGTCAGGAGTCTGGCCGTTGATGCTGAAAATTGCGCTGAGGTCCATACAGCACGGCACGGACCACCTCGGATCATTTTGTTTCCTGTTCATCTCGATATGAGGAAGGAAGAATAAGAAATTCATTTCAGATGTTTGCCACTCGGTAGAAGGCGGACAAGATCTTGCACAAAAGATTCGTTTCGATACCACATGTGAAATCTTTGAGATATCAATGGTGAATTGTCCGTCAGACTGTGCCACCTCTTGATGTCTTATAGGGCCTCAGAGAAGAGAGCAATATTCATGCAGCGTACTCGCTTTTTTCATGGAGGGGCAGGTCCACAGCGGAGCATTTTTTGAGCGCTGGGGGTCTGGATGGTCAGGTCCGAACAGGGATGCGGATTCAGGACAGGGGAGCCTGAAGCCCTACTAGAAATCAAGTCCCTCGGACGACAAGAGAGATGCGCCGTGGCAACGGAGCGAACGACGTGGCTTCAGGATGGTGGATGAAGCTCAATGGGGGGAGACGGAGAGCGTGTTCCGCTGCCGGGCAGTGACAGCGCGTTATGCATGGGAGCGCAACGTGCAACGACCGAGTGCAAGGATTGGTCCAAGACGGAGGAGTAGGAAATCAGGTCCAAAGGAAGTGCCGCGGGCCCCTGGAACGATCGGGTCAAGGGGTTGCTGAGGCACCGTGTTGGAGAAATAAACGGTGTGAAGGACCTGCATCCGTGGCAGAAAACGTGATGAGCGCAATATCAACAGTGGCCCAGGCAGAGGGAGTTTAGGGGACAAAGATAAAATTTATTATTTTGGGAAGGGGTGGAGAGGAAAGCCAGTCCTGTGAAGGTGTCTTGTACTGGGTAGAGAGAGTGGGCTGAGGCTTGATGCCATCCGAGTGGACAGCGAGCTGCAGCGAGACAGTCAGCACACGGGGAAGTCCTGGCTGAATACGATCATTCAACGTCATGGTCGCACAGAAAATTTGGCAAGAGGAGAAAAAAATGGAGAAGTGAGCTCTGGCGCTTAAGCCCCAACAGTGACACACGTACCTAGGCCCAGAGAGCGCCTGGAGAGCCTGGAGAGGGCCAAGAGGGGGCACATGAGAGCGGCCTGGAAGCTGTTGCCACCGCCTCAATTGATCCCGCGTCCACACGTGGAACAGTCTGTAGAGTGACTGCGCAATAATAATGCAAGCAGGATACAGGAACAAGCACTGAACATCAACACGAACACCAACACCAACAAACAACACTCCACATCATACCGCTTTAGGGCTGTGACACAAGGCACCGTGCATCTGGTATCATCTTCATCATCGAGCATCATCGAGATCAACACCCCCTACCTTCACCCCCTCCCATCCCCGTCCCATACACGACGCTACTCGCTCACCGAATCACTACCTCTCGCGACACTCAGCCTCTCGCTCCTCCACGTGTTTGCTGCAACAACTCCCTCCTGTCCCACCAGAGATTGACCGCCTCCTCCCGGTCTTGTACCTGCTCCGTCCCTCGTTCGCAGCACGTTGGACTTCTCAGCACTACCCGACGTCTACTCCTTCTCCTCCTCTGCTCGCTTCTCCCTTCCACCCCCCTTCACGGATCACTCGTGGCGAATCGTCGTTACACGCACGACCGCCTCCCTGCCACCTCCCAGCACCTCCGTTCACTCAGGGAGTAGTTGAAACCCCAAACTGCTCGCCCAATGTCCTTCCCATGTCAAATAGCGCTCCCGCCGGAAGACCGTCCGCGCCAGGCTCGACGGTAAATGGACTCTCTCTGCTCCGCCGTGAATCAGGCTCTTCCTCAACTGCTCCCAGTCTGAGTCCCTCGTCGAGTTCCAAGCCCATTCCTATCTCACGGGGGACAAAAGGAATATACCCTTCCACGAGTACAAACAATGGCAGAGGTCCTCTCTACAGCCTGCACCGGGCAGCCACGTTGGGCGAGCAAGTTCCTCAACTATCAGAAAGAGACAGTATTTTTGCCGAACACTATGTATCACCTCCGAGCGAGCCTTCCACTTCCCTAGACGGAGCAAGAATATCTCCTTCCTCTATTGCAACGCGGAAAGCGCCCTTCAACATGTCGACCATGGTCACTCATCCAGTCTCCCCTCCCGAGACGAGCAAAACTCCGCGTACCCATTCCCCACGAAAGTTGGATTGGCTTGGAAGGTCCGACTCTTTTACAGATTTAGATACTCCTCCCTCGCCGTCTCATCCTTCGACCGGCACAATACACGGCATCAGACGGATAGCGTCCGATTCAAACTCATGGACTAAGAAGTTCCATGTTACCCTGGGGAAGATGGAGAGCCAGGAGGGCAGAGATCAAGAGGTGGGAAGTGTACGACAGAACCAACATGGTGGAGCGGCAACAGAGAGAGACACTCCTGCGGAACACGAAACCGGGCAACATACATCAGTTGAGAGAGGCGATGCCATGCGTGCAGTCATGAAGGGCCCTCGCACAGAACGGAGCGTCAGCCGTGGCCGGGCACACGTGGACAAGAGTATAGAAGCTACAGTCAAGAACCCCGAAGTTGGAGGCACAGCACGTAGCAGGAAGGCTAGCCATATGATGGGTATTTTCGATCCACGAACTGGCTCGGAATCTCCAGGGTTGACCATCCGTGACCAACTGGGTCACGTTAGCAGCGCCAGGGAACCCTCGAAGTCGTCTTCACGACCTACAAGCCCGGCTACTCAAGACACCAAGTTCACATGGAGCGCACGCCGACCTTCGAGGGAATTCATGGACGCTACCGTCGCCGCCTCTCAAGATGCCACCCGTCCAGGAAGTCTACGCGGTTCCAAGGCCACCTCTCCGCTTAGACCGGACCTCGATCCTTATTTCCGACAGCAGGACCTTGCGCAGAAGCCCGATGTGAATGGGAGATTCCTGGACGATGGCAAAGAAGCCTACGAGACGACGGCTCACGATGCCACTCCTCCGGAGAAGTTTCCTGGAGGAGACAGAGAAGAGGATCACCATCCATCTGAAGAGGAACATATATCGGCTGCCGTCTACTACCCTCATCCGGGTCCCTCTCCTGAAGAAATTGAGCGCTTCATCTCCCCCGGAGAGGTCGCTTCGCCTAACCTGAACAACAATCGACAACTTCCGAGACCGGCAGACGAGATCGTTCTGTCCACCGACACCAAAACGAACGAAGCACTCGGAGGTACAGAACACATCGATATCTCGGTCGTATCTCAAAATGAGAAAAGAATGTTTCATGGGAATTATCGCCCTTTGGATGAAGTGGCAGGGGAATGCCAGGTCCCAGCTCTGTCACCCCTCGAAGAATCTCCCACAACTGCAATCGTCAGTACTTCAGAGTCAGAAATTGAATCGGGTGACGATATAAGTCGCCAAAGTCAAACAGATGACATGTCAACAACGCCGACGCAACGAAGCACGCTTTCCAGGAGGCCGACCGAGGTCCAAGGACCGCCGAGGACCAAGGGCAAGGTCGTTCTCGAACCTTACAAACATCAAGTAGGAGGACATTCGACGATATTTCGCTTTTCTCGTCGAGCCGTCTGCAAACAGCTGAATAATCGCGAGAATGAGTTTTATGAACGGATTGAGCAACGGCATCCAGACATGCTCAAATTCCTTCCCAGGTATGTCTCCTTATCCTAGCCGATTTTACCCCTCGTCACTCACGAAGGCTGGAGAGAGACGGCATTGCTGACGTGCATAGATACATTGGCGTACTGAATGTGACATTCTCAAAAATTCCGAAGCCGGTGCAGAACTCTGACGCTAAACCCGACGAGGATACGAGGTCTGGAAACCCTAGTCAAGACGAAGACCGCCCTAGGGAAATAGAGAACACATCCGACGTCGGCTCGAGGCCAATGATTTCATCTGGAGACCAACCACGGATCGTCAGCCACTCGATGCAGCAAATCGGTAGCATCCCGGAGGTCATTCTAGAACAGAACAAACACATCATCCCCTCTAACTACTTTGCTTTGCCGGAGCGGCCTAAAAGTGCCGACCCCAATCACGGGCGGCGACAAAGCAAGGATTTCGATCTTCCCGGTACTCTGGCGCAGGACCTCCCAGACGAGAAGTCTCCGAACAGACCATCATTGCCCGAACATTCCAACAGTTGGGGGCATACCACTGTGAACGAAGGCTTGAAGGACAAAATCCTACGTGAAGTATTTGGCCCTCCTCCCGTCCAATATTTCCGTCGTCATATACCCTCGCACAGTACTATTCCGCGACTCAGGGCCCGTCACCCTCCACGCCGGAGGAGCAACCTCTCTACAAATTCGTTCCCCCACGCGGATGCTAAGGATTTGGCCCGGTCGAAAGACTACCTCGAGGCACCCACAATGCACAAGGAGACTTCTTATATGTCTCCATCCAATGAAGTGGCATCGCAGAATGGCGACAGTGCCGGTATGTATTCTTCATCGGCCTCGGCTTTTGATGACCTAAAGTACAATCTCGAACATGTCAAGACAGCCGGAAGTGAGGTGTCCACCTCCTCCGGTGCAGACAACAGACAGCATGTGAAAAGGCGTCATTCTGGGATGGGCCTACGGCGTCGGCGCCAATCAGTGAATGAGAAACAGACTCCTGGGTTGGAGTATTTTGAAGACGAAGCCTACACAACGGATTTTGGACCTGACACCGGGGGCGATGTCTTTTCCATGGACCATGAGAAGAAACGAGATGTTGCCAAGCCCCGCCTCAGTAATTTAACAACCAACGGCTCTATCAAGTCTCGGGCAGAGGAGGCCAAAATTTCTAATACTCACCCGAACAATGCAGGCAGATCCAGAGAGACAGCTTCGACAAGCTTGATACCCTCCAACCCAAAAGAGGCTCAAAAGACTTACAATGCCTCCGGTGACCGAGTAGTATACTTCATCTTGTTGGAGGATCTCACCAGTGGCATGGGACGACCGTGTGTACTTGATCTCAAAATGGGAACGAGGCAGTTTGGCGTCGAAGCCACTAAAAAGAAAATGGAATCTCAGCGCCGCAAATGCAAATCGACAACCTCACAACAACTAGGTGTCAGGATATGTGGCATGCAGACTTTCAATGCAAAAACCCAAAAGGTATCATACGAAGATAAATATTATGGTCGTGACCTCAAAGCTGGGCGAGAGTTTAGGGACGCGCTCACTAGGTTCCTCTACGACGGTGTCAGCTATCACAGTGTTGCACGGCACATCCCCACCATCTTGCACAAACTCTCCAAGCTTGAGAGCATGGTGCGAAGATTGCCTGGTTATCGATTCTACGCGAGCTCCCTTCTCATGCTATACGATGCCGAGCCTTACAAGTCTCGGGAAGCTGAAGAGGCAGCAAGGAATGGCATAGACATCGCCGAACAAAGGAAAAAGGAGGGCAAAAAGTGGCCACCACCTATTGATATCAAGATTGTGGATTTTGCCAACTGCATCACGGGCGAGGACGAACTCCCTGCCAACGCTCAAGCGCCGCCTGCCCATCCAAAAGATATTGATCGAGGTTATTTGCGCGGGTTAAGAACTTTGAAAGCCTACTTCGAACGCATCCTAGCCGACATCAAAAACAACGAAAAGAGGGAGATAAGCGGTAGGGAGGAATTAACCACTGATGACGAGGGTGCCAACCATGTTTCCAACGGCGGAAACGATACTCCTGAGGATGAAAGTGAAGTCAGCATATAATGATAAGCTGGCATGCGCTAGGACTAGATTTAATACGGGGCAATCCCGAACTTGTCAAAAACCATCAGCTTTTAGCGAGGAGTGCGGAGTTATGAGACCTTTTACTCAGGACCAAAGTGATTGTTTACATATCTAGGACGGTCGGTTTTGATCACAGTCCAGTCCTTGTTGTCGCCTAAGCTGAAGAGAAACCTTGAGCTTGGAACAATCTTGGAATGTCCTTTTGGACTTGTACAAGATGGGCTGGCCGGCTGGAGTCGGACTGGAACCGTGGAACTTTTCATCCCATGTTACGAATAATGCAGTGCACCGGTCACACCAGGCTATAGAGGTGTACGAAGATTAGCATGAATGCATGAAAGAATGAACATGGTATATCTCTCGAAACCCTCTACCGCCAAAGGCTGACTCCCGCCTCCGCAGCCCAAGAACCAACATGTTCACTTGTTCGGTGCGTTGCCTAACCACAGCTCGCAGCTTTGACTCTTTGCTTCTCTGCGTGGAGCTTCTATCCTCTCCGATTGTCCTCGAACATAGTTTACGTTCCATGGGTTATGGTACGTCCTGGTTGAGGACCTTGCGGGCGCTGTTGGTTGGTTCGGCCAATCACATTGACGGTCCAGCCAGCCTTGCCCCTCAACAGCGATAATGTCTCTGACCTCGTTTGCGAAGCCAGGCGGAGAGTCGAGGACCTCATGCGGCCTTCCAGGGAAAAATGCATATAATACAGGAGCGCGCGCGCGGCGCACTCATTCACCATGTGTGTCTCGCCGACGATTCGAATATACATTCTGCTCGACAAGCACTCCGGTTCTTTCTTCTCCTATCCTCGACAGCCTCATCACGCACAACGCAACATCACACAACATAGCTCGACGTCGCCCAAGCGTTTCACAGATATTTCCTCCAAGAAAACGACAACCGAAGTATCTGATACCTCAACACCCACAGACAGACCGATCACAATATATTATATGCCTCCCAACTCAACCACCGCCAAATTACTTGTGATTCTCGACAAGGTAGGCGCCTCGTTCCGCGGATCGCGTAAGAGGCTCTCCGACCTCTTTCAGGAGTGGTATATGTTCGAGCCAAAGAGTCCCAAAGCGGATGTGTGGCGAGGGATGTCGTACCTGCCGTACGGAATGGAGACCTCGACAGAGGCGGCGGAAGCATTCGAGATGGCGAATTTCGGGAGCGTGAAGTGAGGTGGCAAGGCAACAAGGAAGCAGGAGAAAGCTAAAGGTTTCTTCAATTCAACCCAGGAGAAGGCCTTCGACAATAACCACGGGCGGGGCTGTTAGCTAAAGATCCGCCTATGGAAGCGATCGGATCGGCTTAGGGTATTAACGGCGTCCTCCGGGCTCTCCAGTACGCGAGACCTCTTATATGCGCTAGTCCCAATAACAGGACGGAGAGGTAGCTGATCCTCTAGTCGGGGAGGACAGCTGTGATGCCTCGACTAGGAAGGAAGAAGGACGCCCGTGGAAGTCGGGTAAGCGAAGCCTTCTGGACGGGTGGGTGGGCGGCCAGACCGCTCGCGTGGTTCCAAACAACTCGAACAATAATTTCTCAAAGCCTCGCCGATGTAGCGGAGAAGAGTAGAGGCGAGGGCAGGGCGATAAAACACAACCAAGACAGGGAGGCAGTGAAGGGGTCAAGGCAACGAACATTCTGTCCTAACTAGGTGTAGACGGCGTTCTATGCACATACCATTAGCGAGCGTCGCGGGGCACCTCACACACACACACACAGAGAGAGAGAGAGAGAGAGAGAGAAGGGGGGGTTTGGCGAGGAGGAGGACTTTTTCCAGCCTCAGGGCTGCTTTCATTTATAGGCCAGATATGTCAGGGCATCTCCCCCGTATATTTTGTAGGCCATCGCAATCATCGACAATTTGAGTGGCCACTCGTGAAGTCGGAATTTGTCTGCGAATTCCCGAATTCCTCAAAAGGGCAGTGCGGTGCAATCGATGATCTTCCTGTGACCAGCCAGCCTCGCAACCACCAGTCTCGACATTCAGGCCATGCATGCAGGGGTGAGAAGGGATAGCCTGGAAATGTCACTGAGAATGGCTAAGGTCGAAGATATACTGTGCTGTTCTTCCCAAGATCTGAATCCGTGCTGCTGATTACGGACGATGAGATGGTGGGTGGAAGCCCTCCTTTAGACTAGAAGAAGAAGCGGCATCGTCCCGGGGGTCAACGGACATGGAAATATACTGCATACAATAGACTACATAATGGTGCTTATTGTTTCCTTGTTCAAGTAATATTAATCGATTTATCACGAGGCGGGCTTTCATGAGCTGCTTGCTGGACTCTTGATACCATTTCGTCTCTCCCCCTTCTTCCAGAAATTGTTCCGACAATATGCTGGGGCCACTTCACATCACGCCAGAATATGTCGACAACTATTGGTGGTTCTGTTGGTCCCCCTGTAGGATCTTTGTTCCAGGATCATTCTAGACGGGCTAAGCTAGCTAGATACCCGAGTCCGTCTGCAGGGGCTCTTCGCCGGGGTCAATGAGATATCCGCACGGGTCAGACGGGTCGTGGATCTTGGGACTCCAATCGTCCCAGCCCTTGCACATGTCTTTGAACCGCTTCCCCCAGAAGGGCGGGATGCTGATCCTCTCGCGGTTCTCGACGATCTGCACGGCCAGGCCTGAGGACGCGTGGAATGCGATGTGGCAGTGCATGATCCAGACGCCCGGGTTGTCCGCCCTGAACGCAACGATCAAATACCCACCGTTCGGGAGGAAGGCGACATCGCGCCGCGGGGGGTTGTTGAGTGTGAGAGAAGCCTTGGACACGTCGCATTCTGTCGTGGAGTCTGGCACGCATTGGTCCAGCACCGCGAAGTCGTGCCCATGCAGGTGGATCGGATGTTGGCCGGGAACAAAAATGCCGGGAACCTTGGGTACCGGGTGCGGTAGGAGCGGTGCTTTTGACTTCTTGGGTCCAGATATGATGGTGAGTTGGATCCATTCTTCCTTGCTGGTGTCATTCGTATCGACCACGGCCAGCCAGCCCTTGTCCGTAAAATTTTGGTCGAGGTTCCAAAGCGTCGGGCCGCTGAAGTTGAGCCACATGGGGTTATTTGGCACGAGCTCGAATCTGCCCACCGTCTTGTCGCACGGCCAGTATGGGTAGCCCTTCATCTGCTGGAAGGTGAGGTAGAGAGGATCCATTTCTGCTCAAAGATGTTAGCGGCGCTTTGCCAGATGGCCCACCTTGTCTGGCCTTCATAGCATATCTTTCATCTTACCTTGTCTGCGGTGCCCGACAGTCCAATGGACTATTGGAGTAATGTTCCTATAATACGTCTCATCCGCACAGGTAGCTTCGAAAAGATGTCTCGAGGTACTCGGCAACGCTTCGCTGAAGGTATATCGAACGATGCCAGTGCGTTCATCAGGGATCGGAGCGGAGGTGTTGAAAGAACTGCAGTTCTTAGCTGGAGTCGTACGGATCCAGTAACTCTGATCATAGGTGAATCTCTCTGGGTTTGCGTCGACGATAATATTATATCGTTGCCCTGGAGCCAAGAACATCGTGTCAGAAATCGAGAATAGCCAAGATGCAACTCTTCTTCCAACGCTCACCTATCCCCACCACAACGTGATCGGTATAGTATGGCTCAATCGCCACAAAATCCGTGGAAATAACCCAGAACTTGTGGTCGTCGATTGAGAATACAAACGTCGTGTCGGCGGCGCCATTGATGAGTCTCATAAGGTATTTCACTCCCTGCTTTCTGGTCAAACACACTTTTACGAAGAGCGGATAGATATGAGAGCTTGTACCTTCTGAAAGAATAGCTCGTTGAACTTGGGCTTAACGGCAAGCTCGACGGGAGGCGGCCAATGACCTGAGAGGCCGCACTGAGCCCAGTGACCCCGTCCAAGGTTGTGTATGCACTTACCAATGCCATTTTGCAGAATGTTGTCCACGAATATCGGTTTCCCGCTTTTTTGGATCGATGCATCCCACTTCTGATATACACTGAGGAGCCACCGACGTTAAAGGCAGTGGTGTGGAAGTTCGGAGTCATCTGTTACGTACCTCTGGTGGAGCCAGTCAGTCATAATAACGGGATATAACTGATGGTCATAATTCTTTGACGTCGGGCCATAGACCGTCAAGGGGCCCAAGGCACCCGCAGCATACTGACAAAAATAGTTCAGTCCCCGGCCTAGAGCATCAGATGGCTAAACGCAACAGACCTGCAAAGAATAGTGACTGTGATACCACGACGTCCCGTATTGAGTGATGTTGAAAATGTATGTGAAGCTAGAATTAGGCGCAATTGGGCACTGCGTCACGGCGTTGACACCGTCCATGTAGCCAGTATGCCACTGCCTAAAGCCGTGCCAGTGGATTGTGGTGCCGTTTCCAGGGTCGTCAGCTGTCTGACTGCCTGTCAGCTTGTTTTTGATAGTGATGCGTACCTGGTCACCCCAACAAGCTTGGATTCGTGGGCCGGGCAGACTCTTGTTGAATAGTTGCACTGACAGATTTGCAAATCCATCGGGATTGAGATCAGACTCTTCTAACTCGAGGTAGTAATGTCTCACGATACCTTTTGGCCCCTTGTTCTCGTAGTCGGTAGCGATATCAAAGCGTTCGCCAGTCTTGGTATTTTTAAGCCAACATTGTCTGTCTACCTTGGTGTTGCACGACACCCAGCCGTCATGTTCCGGGTAGTCGGGGTATTCACATCGAAAAGGAACATCTTCAAGGTCATCTGGTGGATTGAAGATCGGGTACCTTGTTGCCTGTGGCTGAATTGGCTGGACTGGGACCTGCAGATTTGGAGTAATCTCCGAAGAATAAAGCTGGCTTGGAGAGTTTGTGAGAAAGTCGAAGAAATAGACAATGCCAGTCCACAGTGCTCGTATTGGAGCCATGTCGATGACGTGATCTGGTGACGCTGGTGTTGTCAAGCTCGATGGATGATAAGGTCAACTTGCAAAAAGGGTGGAAGGATATATAAAGGAGCTTCCATGCGAGCAAGAGTAGAGCCCCGCTCATGGTTTGATGATGCGGATACTCGTCTTAACATCCCCATCTCACCCGTGATGGCTTTTGCTTCCTCTGCCAGCTCACTCAACCGAGAGGTCATCGTCATATCACACAGACGAACGCCGAACTTCCAACCAATGCGTCCAGATCGAGACAGGTGCATTTTCAGCTCAGTCTTGGGATGGCTTGCACGAAAGCAGTTCCCAACAGGGTGCCTCGTGGGCTGAAAATGTGTGCAGCCCAGCCTAATTCGAAAGAGACGGGCAACTCGTTGGAAGCCTGATTTGCGAGGACTTTGGGAGAACTCAGAGCCACGGCCTCGAAACGAATCTGCAGACCTAAGCGAGCTGAGAAGCTCTCGCATCAAGTGGGATTCGTCGTCACCCATGCTTTCCCAGGTTGGCAAACAGTTGACCTCCACTCACCTTTGGCTTTGGAGAGGGGAACTTGAAGAGCGAGACAGTGGCTGGCTGAGTCTGGAGCGATGATCAAGCTAGTCAGTCAGTCTCTAAAGTGCCTCTCACCTCCATTCAGCTGCTGTGTGGGGCTTCTTGAAAATCAGTCCTGTGAGGTCTGCTGATATTGACGCAGAAATGTCGAAAGCAGGCGAGTTTCGAAGGATGATAAATATGTATGGGGCAAGTTGGCCCGGATCAGCCAGGATTGACTGATTCGGGTTGAAGTGGTTAATAACTCAACGGCTACGCCCGCATACTATGCCTGATCCAGCGTCATCACACGAGTAACACTTGCTCTACCACGAACGAGTAGGACAAAACCCTCCCGTCGTTTACGATGACAGCTCGTAACTGCGCTCATACCTAGTGGATGCCGCTGCTCCCTGCCGAGTTCCAACAAACCCCTCCATGAACGTCGCTCTATTCTGCAGGACATTCCTCTCCTAGGACTCCGGTTCGAAGCAGAATTCCCCTCTTGTAAGCGATTCTCCAGGAAGGGCACCGCGCGTTGGACCCTTGTCAACGCACTACTGGTTCAGGAGAGGATCATGGAGCGCGTAGTGAACAGGATACAATAAATCCAAACAGGAGCGTGAGGACCAAAGCTAACGTCGTCCTCGCGATTCTGTTCGAAGGAAGAACGTAGGCAGAGTATCACGGAAAGATCGACCCCATATTCTACCACCGTCAGTTTGGAAGACGGGATCAGGTTCAAATGAGCAA